GGTTTCTGCCCACCGCTCTGGCCTCATGGCCTGTACCCCTTCCCCTCCTCACTCTACGTGGCTTTCATCCATCTTCCAGGACCCACCTCAGGGCCTTCTGCCTGCGACACTCAGCCACCAGCTGCCACATAGCCACCCGAACGTGACCTCATGGCTGGTCACCCTCTCTGCCTGGTCCGCGTGACTGTCACAACCTGCTTCCCTGGGGCAGTTCACCATCGGGCACCCTGCTCAGGTATCCGGATGGTGTGTTGGCTTGGCTCCCCCGCTAGACGCTGAGCCCCAGGTACCATGAAGTCAAGCAGACATTCGGTCGGCATTCGAAGGTTGAATGAAGGGCCTGGTGTAATTCCTGGCATGCAGTTGATGGTCCCATTTGTTACTTGATCTTGAATTATCAGTGAATGGGGTGATTATAGGAGATGAAGGGGGTTTTGGCCACTTTCCCAGCTTTCTGGGAATAGGACACAGGAGAGAAGGCAAGACCTGCCCACATTTTAAAAAAGGACATAAGGGATGAGGCCTAGCTGTTGGAGGCTCTGAGGGCTGCTCAGCGGGCAGGGGGGATGGGTGGCCCATGGAGTCTGCCTTCCTCCCAGACAGTGAGCCATCCTCAACCTTTGTCTCCAAAGAGGCTATTGGCCTTTAGGGGAAGACTGTGACGGGGGCTCCCGTGAGTTCTGGAAGAGTGTTGCGTGTGTGTGTGTGTGTGTGAGAGGCTATTGGCCTTTAGGGGAAGACTGTGACGGGGGCTCCCGTGAGTTCTGGAAGAGTGTTGCTCTAGGACAGTGTCATTACCTCACGGGACAGAAGGCCTGGTGTTTGCTGGAGGAGGGACAGGACACCCACAGGCCTCAGTCAAGCAGGAGAATGCCTCGAAGAGCAGCCTCAAGGACCCTTAGAACATGCTGGAACAGTGGCACAGCCTTCAGAATTCCAGGAAAACCCCATCAGGACATCTGGTCTACTCAACGGTGGGGCAGACGGGATTCTGATGTGGTGACCTGGAAGGGTTTGGGCAGCTTGCTGGCTACAAGGTCAGGGTTTAGGACTGCCACCCAACCAGAATCAAGGGTAAATCTCCTCACAGGGGTCTTCCAATTTCAGGGGACACCATCAGGTAAGTGGGGCTGGTAGGCCTTTGAGAAGGAGAAAGCCACAACGCAGCATGATTGGGACTGAAACTACATCTTCGGACAAGTATTTTTCAGACTGTGGGTTTTGACCCATTAGAGGGTCATGAAGTCAATTAGATGGGTTGTGACCAAAATGTTTAGAATTTAACAGGAAATAGCAGAGTGCATTGTATGTAGTAAGTGCTCTCTCACTAAGTGTGTGTGTGTGTACACGTATAAACCATTGAGATATAAAGTGTATTTCTTACTTAGTTTGGGGTTTTTTTGTGTGTGTAATTTTCTTTTTAAAAGTTTGAAAGTTGCTGCTCTTGAAAGGATGGGTGATACCATGAAGGATCATTCCACCCGAAGGGCAGGAGGCCAAGACCTGACCCAGGGAGGTAATCAGACCCTCCTTGGGTTTGGGGGAAAAGCACTGGGTTTGGGGTCAGGCAGAGCTGGATTCAAATCCTTACTCTGCATCTTACTGGTTCTAGGACAGTGGGCAAGACACCCAACGTAATGTAAGCAGTGCCCGCAGCTACCTCGCCGATGGTGGCAGTGACTCGCCTAGCGGGGCAGATGGCCTCCCACGGAGTTAGTGGTGTTCCTCTCCAGTGTCCCGGATGATGTGGGTTGTCTTGGGGACTTGGGGCAGCAGCAGCCCGAGGGGCCCCTGTTCCTGCCCCTCCTCTTTCAGGCCCTGCCCACGAAGCTGCAGGGCAGTTACCTGCCAGGGATCCCCCATCTCTGCCCCATCCATCGCAGCCCCTTCCAGGGTGAAGGTGAGAAATAATGAGACAGCAGCCTATAGAAAGGAGATCCAGGAGAGGAAAAAGAAACAAGTTTTATTTAAGCCCCAAACACTCGGCTAGAAAAACCGGAAAGGAAAGAGAGCAGGGAAGTGAGAAGAAAAAGGACATTAAAAAAGAGAGACAGAGAAAACACAGCAACCCTTTTCCATTTAGAAATTGTCAAGTTACACTGACAGAGGTCACGGAATATCCACAGAAGCCATCACTGCTACAGCAACACGGGCCCTACAGGGTGGACGGGGCAGGGTGCGGAGCCGGGGCTCAGCCCAGGGCAGGGGGGACCCCACCTGGGCCCCCGATCAGAGCCTCGGGCCCGGAGGCTCCTGGGGAGACAGCGTATTGTGGAAGGGGTGGGAGAGGAACCCCCCATGCGAGTAACACAGCACAGTGGGCGGGGGCGGGGGACCAGGTACAGGGATCCCCCCAGACGTCTTAGTTTTTTCTCTTGGTCAAGCACACACTGGTGGACAGAGCAGCGAGGCGCATGCAGCGGGCTTTGGGAGGGCGGGGGGCTGGGGGCTCAGGAGGGGAGCCAAAGCAAGGGGTGCAGGGTCGATGGAACACACACGCAGGCACTCCCACACGCCTGGGTCTACACACCCGTGCACACGCACAGGCCCACACACGCAGGTCACATGCACCTCCACGTGCAGCCCTCTGTCCACGCATATGTGGCCCGCACGCATACAAGTCTCTCGCAGCCACGCGCGCACACACACACGCCCTCTCACGCGCAAAGCCCCTCCGTACCAACATGCAGGTGGGCACGTGCCGATGCCCCAGCAGGGAACATGCACCGAGTGCGCTCGCCTCCCCGCACACACGTGTGGAAGGTCACGCCTGTGCACACACACGCTTCCCTCCACACCCGGGCAAGAGGACCTGGGCCAGCACACATACACACACAGGCTGCGCACAACTCCACACAAACGCATCTCAGCCCGTAAATGTGCAGGAGCCAAAGGGAAAGGAAGATGCAAATCCCACTGGGCGCTACGTGGGCAGATGGGGGTGGGGCCCACGGCTCCCTCCGTCTGCCCCTCGAGAACGGACACCTCCTCCTCCCCCCACAAAGGGACATTCAACTCAGGACAAAGACGGTGGGGCACACATTCAGGTCACAGGGCTGGGGGGGCAAGCGAAAAGTGGCAAGCAAAGAGTAATGGAGTGGAGGGAGGAGGGGGCACCACTCCCCCCTCCCCTCCCGATCAGGGGTTCTCTGTACAGCCAAATCAAACCGAACCATTTCACTGGACCACGGAAGCCAGGCCGATGTGCCCATCCTCCAGCTCCCCTCCCCCGCCAAAACAGCGGCCAGGGAGAGGGTGCCGTGGTTTTCATTTTTTTTCTTTTTTAAATATTTATATATATTTATATTACGTATATTATATATATATAATATGTAAATATATTTTTAAAACAATATAAAATGTTAAGACACTTCACTTAAATGTAAAGAGTTGCCTGCAATTAAAAGTAATTGCATCATTTATGAGGTCCTTTTTTTTTTTCCTATTTTCCAAGGGTTTTTTTTTTTTTTTAAGGAGGGATTTTTTTTTTCCTCTTCTTTTGTTATTTTTCAAAAAGGCCTGCTTGCCTTTGTACAAAAATGATCCAAAGCTAGAAAACAAGGATGAACCAGCAAAAACAAAACAAAACAAAAAGAAAGAAATGAAGAAACACAACCCCAGTCTCCCTTCCCTCCCCAACCCTCAACAGCTCCCCTGGCTTTCCCCAAACACTGACCTTCCAGCCAGGCCCCAGGGACTAGGAGGTTCTGCCCCTTCAATGGCTCCTTCTTTCTGTGCTTACTCAGGGAGACTACTCCCAAACCCTCCCCTGTGCTTACCCCACTTTGTGCTCCAAATAGGAATCCTGCTCCCCAGGGGCCCTACCCTATCTGCCTCCTCATCCCCCACCCACATACCACCCCGCCCCCCCCACCCGGCCCCTCACTGTGCCCTCTGGGGGACCCAGGGCTGAGAACCAAAACTGGTCTTCCTCCCCTTCCCAGGACCTGGTCAAAAGCCTCGTTGCCCCAGCCCCTGCAAGGCAGGCATCCACAGGTTGGGTCTAGGGGCACTGGCTGGCTGGTCAGGCCTCAGGGACCCTCAAATATTTTACCAGGGGTCACCAGCTCCCCATTTAAAAATCATCTCACCCCTGAAAACCCTCAAATCTCAAAGAGGATGGTTAAAGGTCAAGTCGTTTAACCTTTGGGTCAGAGCTGTCCTCACTGCCCCCCCATCAGCCCCTCTCTATTCCCCCCACTTCCCTCACCACGAGACCCTTCCCACCCTCCACGCCCCCAAATCTAGTTTTCTAGGCCCTTCATTCTTGCCCACCCCCATTAAATAAGTTAATGTCATTTAAAGTGCTAAATTAGGAAACCAAAAGTACCAAATAGCCCTCCTTGGGGCTGCCCTCTTCTGGGGCAGTGACCCCAGTGTCAGGCTGGCTGTTCAACCGGCTGCCCACAACCCACTACCCAGAAGGGCCCGCTCCTCGCTCGGCACAGGCTAGGTGGTTTCTCACCACAAGAAGGGAGTCCCAGGAAGCCAACTCCTCTCCAGGACACACAGATTCGAAGGCCTCACACCCGCCCCAGGCCCCCTCAACCCTGCCTCCCTGCCCAGCCCATCCATCTTGACGCCAGGCCCACAGGGGCATGAGCGGAAGGGAGTGGAGCAGCAGAGTTCGGTCACAGCAAGGTTGGGCAGCTGGGGCACCTCCAGGGCCAGAGTCTCCCTGCCAGCCTGATAGTGGGGTTGTTCCAACGTCCAGAGTTTCCTCCAGGAAGGTTTCCGAGGATGGGGAGAGGGGCGTCTCGCCGCTCCAAGTCTCCGTGGCTCAGAGTTTATGTGGAGTGCTCTCAGGAAGGGAGCATAGGGTGCAGGGGCTTTAGGATGGACGTGGGAGGAAGCGTGGGTAAAGAGAAAAGGGAGGGAGGATGACAGGAGGTGGGCCATTTTGGAACAGGAAATCAAGGGAAGGTGGTGTGTTTTGGTTTTTAGTTTTACTGTTCTGCTTTAAAAAAAAAAAAGATAATTAAAAGTGAATCAATTTAAAAAACCAAAAACACCAACAGGGGATGGGTGTAGAGAGCTGAGGAAGGCCACACCTGTGGCAAGCCAGAGACTAGGGTGGGGGTGGGGTAGAGATGAAGGAAGAAGAGCAGGGAGAGAAATGGCAGGGGTGAGGAGGGGGGACAGGCTGAGGTGGAGGTGGAAGGGGGCTTCTAGAAGGAGATGGAAGAATTCCTCGCCCCAAAGGAAGTCAATACAGGGATAGAGGTTCTGGAAGCCGAGGGCTTTTCTGAGACTGGGCTCGAGGTCTCATTTGACCCGCTCATCTCTTTAGATGGTTTAGTGGCCTGGAACAAAAACAGGGGTCAGGGGTCAGAGAGAGGATGGGAGATCCTTCATGCTGGCCCCCAGCTGAAGTTTTAAAAAAAATGAAAAACCTCCACAAATCCAAGAGAAAATTAACCGCAAAAGGCATCTGGAGAGAGTGAGGCCCTGAGATGGGGAGGAGGGCGCCACAGTGGGGGTGCAGAATAGAGTAGAGGGGGTGAGTATAGGGTTGGACCCAAAGGCTTGGGCACCGGGGTTACTGACAGGAAAGAGAGCAGGTGGAGGAGAGAGACCAGAGAAGCACAAGGGAGGCCACACCCAGGACAGGTGGACAGGGAGATAGGAGTGGGGAGGACAGGGGACAGGAGGGAGAAGCGACAGGTTAGCTGCCACAGGGGTGCGGGGCGGAGAGGGGAGCGGCCCCAGCTCAGAGTAGGTGGGCTCTTGGTCTCAAGGGGCCAGCAGCCCAGCCAGACCCTTTTCTGACCTCTACAGGAGGCTGATCCTAACCAGAAGGTCTTATGGGGACAATGTGGGACAAGCGGGTCCTCCCGGGGGAGCACTACTCTGAAGAACCCACCCCCAACCCCACCCCACCCCCAAGCTGGAGGAAAAGGCACTCACTGCTTCCAGCCTCTGGCCCAAGGCAGGAAGCCCCGCTGCAGCCCCTACAAGTGTTCTCCCAGCTTCCCAGTGCTCGGCTAGTTAGAAACAGCCGCACCTCCTCCCACCCCAGCAAACTCCCTGTGTCCAGACTAGTTCTGGATGTTTGTGTATGGTTCCAGAGCCATCTGCATCACCTTCAGAGGAGGAGGTGTCACAAATGCAGATTCCGGGGCCCTGCTCCAGAATCTCTCCCTGGCTCAGGCTCAGTAACCTGCATTTTGGGCAGGCACTCTAGGGGACCCTGCTGCACACTTCACTTTGAGCACCACTGGGTTGGGGCTATACGGACCGGGTTTCTCTGTCATATTCACTGCCCCCCCGCCCCTCCCCTCCCTGCCTTGCATAGCTACTAGTGGGATAACGGACTGGTCTTGATTTAAAAAAAAAAAAAAAAAAAAGGAAGGAGGAGGGGAGGGCTGGAAACTGCGCTGAGGCTCCTCGGACCCCCTCCCGCAGCAGCTGCGGTCTGGGCAGGGTGGCTCTACCGCCCGCCGCCCCCCCCCCCCGGGAGCCCCTGCTGCTGGGCGGGCTCTATCAGACCCCAGCAGGGGCACCGAGGACGCCTCAGGCAGCCTGACCGGCCGACCGGGAACTCGCCCTTGCTGTTGGCGGCCCCCACGGGCTCTTCCACCCGCGCAGTGGCTCCCCTGGGGTGTGCTGCTCGCCCTGCAGCACAGTCTACCTTTTCTCTTGCTGAAAATCCAGGCAAGAGGCTCCCCGTTTGGGTCTTCTGACCCCTCCCCCTCTTTCCTGTCGCAGTTCGTCTGGACTCAACAGAGGCTCCAGGGCCCCAACCACAGGATCCCTGGATTCACTGGGGCCTTTGCCCGAGGGGCAGGGGCCAGGCCTGGCCCCTGCCTGCGGGGGGTGGGCGGGGGTGGGGTCCCGGTACCTGGGCCCAGAGACAGCCTCACGCCGTCTGACTCCGGGTCACTAGCCCTGGGCTCCAGGCCTGCCCCTCCCATCCCAGCCTTTCCCATTCAAAGTTCTTGCTCCCAAAGGCGAGTGGGCGGGGAGCCCCCTGCTGGTCTCCTCACATCTCGCCGCCTCCCAAGCCGGCTGCTGATTCCCTCCCGGCTGGCCTCTTTGTTCTCGACCCATCTCTCTAGTTGAAAGCTTTTGCTCTTCCTCCCCTTTAGCATTTGTCGAGAGCCCGGGTCCGCTCCGCGCTTTGGTCTTCGGAACGCCCGCCTGCCAGCTTGGGCCGCCACCTGACCCCTGCACCGCTCAGGTGACAGTCCTCACCCCGGCGCTGGCCCCGTTCTCCCGCCGCCAGCGCGAGGCCTTTCTGCAGTAGCCACAGGGGCGGTCAGCGGCCCGCGTGGACACCCCGCTCCTTCCTCGCGGAGACCCGGGCGCCTTGTACGGCTCTGCGAGCACCCGTCTGCCCTCCCAGCCGCCTTCCGTCCCGGGTGGTGACTGGCCGCAGGGACGCATCAAGCCCCCTCCCCTGAAGCTGAGGGAGCACATGCCCATCGTGCCACGTGCCCTCTCCCGGGCTGCGGAGGTTCTCCGGTAACACAGCTGCTGTCTCTGGAGCTTTCTGTCACTTCATTTCACCCACCAGCCCTCTCCTGTCACTTCCAAGTACGTCCAGAGAAGCAGAATGCTGTCACCTTCAACTTCCAGCCGGGCGGGGGGCGGGGGGCGGGGGGAGACTGGACGGTTAGCAGGGCCTGGCGGGCTGAGCCCCGCACCCCTACTCTTCCTGCAGGTCAGCACACTGCCCCGCCGCCCCGCCCCCGCGCCGTGACACAGATCTCCGCACAGGGACAGGTCACCTTGTTGTGGCAGACCCTGCTGGCGCCTCTTCCAGGGCCACTCCCAGTGTCGCTTCCTCCGCTGCCCACACGCCCTCCTTCCTGATGAAATCCTGCCCGGATCAGGCCCTGGGCTATCAGGAGAGGTGGGCCTTTCCCCCAGCCCAAGGGGGTTGGGTCCCGAGCAATCTACCCAATTCGAGCAATTCCGTTCTCCTTGCCAGCGACTGATTAGGGAACGGACAACGGGAAGAGAGGGGAGATCAGTTAGGGGCTTCTGGGAAAGGTCCTCCTGCTCCTGACCCGATCTGTGGGCCTGGGACCCACCCTCCCTCCCTGGGAGTGAAGGCAGCCACGCTGGGGGCGGGGAGGCAGGATGACGGGACAGCAGGACCGTCTGAGGAGATGCACCAGGGGGTGCAACAGATTTCCGAGCCCTAGTAGAAGAGGAGGGGTCCATGGTTTCCCATCTGCAGCAGGCCCGGGCCCCTTGCACCCCTGGGAATCTGGCTACCATCCCACCCCTGGATCTCCAGCTTGACATCTTCGGGCTTTTTCTCAATTGTTTCCTCTGGTGTCTTTGTAGTATAAGGCCCTGTTGCAGCCCCATCTCGGAACTCTCTTCCCCCCATTTTGGTGTCTCTGGTCCTGACACTTTTATTCTCCTTTCCCTTGTCATTATCAAAGGCAGCTTTGAGCCCCAAGTGTTAGAACCACGTGACGAGAGAAAGGCCTCTGCCCAGCGCTCGGCGCTGACAAGCGTGCAGACCATGACCAAGTGCAACTGAGGACGACGGGGACTGTCCTTCGCGGGGCACTTGGGGGCTTTCCCAGTTCCTTCCCACACCTGGTATGATGTGATCTCAGAAGCCTGCTGCTGGGTTTTCGTCTCTATTGTACAGATGAAGGAAGAGCCAGCAGAAGGCAGAGGACTTTGACCAAGTTCCCAGCCTGAGCTGACAGGGAGCGCTGTCCAGGCCCAGAGGACAGAGGGCCAGGTGACCTAGAGTGGCTGGAGCAAACTGAGGGTGTGGGGCGGAGGGCGCCAGGAGAACCGGGAGGAAGGAACCCAGGCTGGTCATGGAAGTGCTCTGGGCAGCCGGTGAAGGACTTTTGATTTTCTCACCTGGCAGGGAGCAGTGGGCCTGGGTTTGAAGCTGGGGGGATGACATAAGCAGATCTGCAATTTACACACATCCGTCCCCAGCCCGCAGGTCTGGGAAAATAGATTAGAGGTGACAGAGTGACAGGGAGACCCTAGAAGGGCATGCATTTAGGAAACGAGGCATAGGATGGTTTTTATCCCTGCCTCTTTAAGAAATGTCCACAAAGAACGTATATTACTTTGTTAGGGAGAAGATGCTTTGTAACGAAAAGCAACCAGAAAGTGAAAGCGAGAGGCATGGCCCTGCCTGTGGCCCTGGGGGCGGGGGGAGACAACCTGTACAGTAGGTGGTGAGGGAGACTCCCCAGTGTGGGAGGACGCCCCGGGGGTGGGTGACATTTTCTGGGGGGCAGCCTTGGGCTCAGAACGGAGCCCGGGGCAGGGATAGATGGCGCTCCGGGAGAGGAGCGTGTGGTACGAGGAGCAAGGAGGCCCAGGAGGAAGCGGGGCCCAGCGAGGTGAGGAGTGTGCAGAGGAGAGACGCCCAGCAGGGAGCCAGGAGGGTCAGAGTGAGGGCTGGCCAGGGGGGAGAGGAATGCAGGGCCTACACAGCATCCCCGTGAGCGTGTGTGTGTGTGTGTGTGTGTGTGTGTGTGTGTGTGTGTGAATGCTTGCGGCCCCAGAAGGCCTAGCCGGGCCCTGGGGGGAGGTTGGAGGGAAGGCCAAACTGAATGGAGGCCACAGAGGTGACAGAGGGGCCAGAGAGAGGCTCTGGGTGCCCCAGGACAGGCAGTCAGGGTGAGAGATGGTCGAGCAGTTACAGCTAGAGAGGCTGAAGGCAAGGTGTGTATGGGGGAGGGGACCAGGCACAGGGTGCCAATCCTCCTGCACCCTCGCCAGCTGCATGACCGTGGCTAGAGCCTCAGTTTCCCCATCTCTTGAGTGGGCATCAGAAGGACCTTCCTCAGAGTGGTATGGCGAACGGGAAACGAGAGAACCTGTGTGTCTGGCACAGGGAGAGCCCCGTGCATGTCAGCTGCTGTTCTGGACACGAAGGATGGACGTGGGACGAGGGGGACCCAGGCAGTGTGGCAGCAGGACAAGGAGCTGGGGTGGGATTTGCACGGTATGTCCGGGGACCCACGAGGAAGACGGTGGGTCAGCGGGGGCCCGGGGAGGAGAGCTGGTCAGGGGCGGGTGGGGCTGGGATGGCCGTCTCCGCGGGGCCCTCCAGGGAGCCAGCAGCCCAGGGCTGTCGCAGGGCCGTGGGGTGTGAAGGGCTTTGTGATTCCTGGGTCCCGTCCTGGCTCTGATGCCACCTTGCTGTGTGCCCTCGGGAGGCCCCTTTCCTTCTCTGAGCTGCTCCCTCGTCGGTGAAGAACGGAGTCGGACTGGCCACCTCTAACCTATTGCCTCAGAGCCTAGAACCTTCTTCAGGTCACAGCACCTGGACATTTCACAGCGCCCATTCCCACCCGGCACCCACAACAGGCCTGGCACGCAGGAGCTGCTCAGAAATACTTACTGAACCAAATGAGTGCACGAAAGGTCTCTCTCAATATCTAGGTCCAGGGACCACCCTTGCACCTTCTGACCAGGCCACGCAGTGGGCCACAGGACAGAAGCACCCACGGTTGGGGCTGTCACTTCCACACTGGCCCCAAGCCCGCGGACTACATCTGACAGAGGGTACAGCATCCCCGCCGTCCCCACCCCACCGGGGGGGCCACAGTACTTCTCCCTTTCCCCGTTGACATCAGTGCAACCCACCAAAGCCCAAACACTGAAAAGCAGATGCAAAATTGGTTTCTCCCTCAGCTGGGAGATGGCCTGAGAGCCAAAAGCGAGGACTGATGACAGCGGGGTGCCCCCCAGAGAGCAGGGGGCGGGGAGCAGGGAGAGGAAGCCAGGCAGCGGCAGGAAGACAAAGGGACATCGAAGCCCCCTCCCATACCCCAGGGCAGGCCGGGCCTTGGCGCGGGCCAGCGGGGACATAAGACTGCTGGGTCCCCCTCCTCCAGGAGCAGCTGGGGAGAGGGCCTTCTCTGCCAGGTGGGGGTCTCCCGAAAGGGGAGTGGCCTGGTTGAAAATACATGTTCTAAACCAGATCCAGAGCGCTGGGGTTGGTAGGAGGAGGGAAAAGATGGCTCAGGGGACCAGTGGGGCCGTGCTGGCAGGGAGGAGGTCTCTGGGCATTTGGCAGGAAGGTGGCCACAGGCGTGCTGGCAGGAGCCGCCCGGCACACAGCCCGAGCGCACAGCACCGCAGGGGAAGGGGAGGGGCCAGGATGGGCCGAACCCCGCTCCCCACGGGGCCACGCCTACCTGCTGCTGGGCCTGGATCCTCATGTACTCCGCCCTCTGCTTGCCGTGCTTGCCTTTGTCGGGGCTGCCGGCCTGGCTCTGCACTGCCTTCAGCCGAGAGGCCCCTGGAGTAACCACCTTCATGGGTGGCACGCTGCCACCACCACTCTGCAGGAAGATGAACAAGGTGGGGTTGAAGGTGGGATCACACAGCAATCCTAGGTGCTGGGTGGGGTCTCTGGGGCTGGGTCCTCTTCAGTGGGCCCTTTGAGAGCTGGAGACCTTTGGACCTCCCTGCCTCCACATTCCTGGCCAGGACCCAGGTCCACTCTCCGAGGCCAGGGTTAAGGTCTCCCTGCAGAAGAGGGACAGGGCCCCCCCCAGCCAGGTTCCCAGCCGCTCCCCAGTGAGAGTTCTTTGGTGGTTTCCTTGAGTAGCCCAGGGGCAGCAGGTGCCTTCTGGGGAGCCACTTCTAAAGTGAGAGTCGCTGCCATCACCCCCACTCCTGACAAGGTACCCTTTTCTGGGTCTCCCAGAGCATGCCTGAGATTTGAGGGGGGTCTTTATGATGGCAGACAGAGTGGGACCCACATCTTCCTCTGAATGGGAGGATGGGGGTGAAGTCTCCCTAGAGATGGACAAGTCCAGCTCCTCTGAACCACCCCAGGTACCACCCTGTCCAGGACTCCGGGGATTCAAGAGGCGCAGACAGAGAAACAACAGAGGCAAAGACAGTCAGACAGGAGGGGGGAGGGGAGCGTGGGGATGGAAAAGGAGGAGAGAACTTTATTTGTTGGTTGATAGGTACAGAGCAGAGGGGAGAGGACCCGGTCCCTGCCAGGGCTGCTAGGGCCGATCCCTGGGTAGGCCAGCTTCCCAGCCTCCCAGGGCTCTCCCTGCAAACCCCACCCGGCGCCGGGCTCCCAGGAGGCTGGCAGGAGATGACAAAAGGCTAGTGGCAGGAAGGGGCTGGCATGGTGCTCCTGCAGCCCCCCACTCCCTCCAGCTCTGAGGACCAAGAGACTGGAGCATAAAGGCAGGAGGAGAGGCTAGGGGAGGAGGCAGCCACCTGGGGACCGGGTGGCAGGGGTGGGGGGCTGCCAGGGGGTCCCGCGGCGAGGGCTGTGCCCATCTGGCTCAGGGCAGCTTCTAGCTCCCGGAGTGTCTCCTCCAGGCTGTCCATCCGCTGGGTGGTGGTGCCTCTCACTGTGCAGCCTAGGCCTGCAGCAGGCTGGGCCCTGGGCTCCCCACTGCAGGGTTGGGCATCCTCTCCGGTGTCCTTGGGGGTCTTCTCTGGCTGGGTCTCAGCAGTGGAGGGCTCCTGAGTGCCGTCAGGGGCTGGTGCCCAAGGGCAGGGGGCCCCGGCTCCTCCTCCCGCTGGGCTGTAGCTCTCTATCCCCAGTCTCTTCAGAGCTGCCCCTTCCGTCTCAGGTGCCAAGCAGCTCCTGGGCTGGGAAGCCTTGGCCACTACCTCTGGCAGGGCCCGGGCACCATTGCAGCCCCTCCCGCTGCCAGCCAGGGTCCGGGGGCGCGGGGTGGGGGTTGTCCTGGGACCGGCTTCCTCAGGCCTGGCCTCTGGTGGGGAGGGAGGCCTGGGGGTACACTCCATCAAGATGATCCGGGGGACGCAGAAGACCCTGGGGCTTGGGGCAGCCTGCGGGGAGAGGAGAGATGAGGGAGAGTCTGATCCCGGCAAACGGAACGCCCTGAGCCGGGATGGGGGCTTAGACGCGGGTGAGCCCAGCCCCTTCCTTTCGCAGATGGGAAAACCGAGGCAGGGGAGGGTGGTGACTGAGTTTACTCAGCAAGTCAGAGGCAAAGCCGGGACTGGAACTCAGGTCCCTTCCCACCCCACACTAGGGTCCCCCACTTTCTGGCAGGGACGCCGGTTTCCCCGGAAGCACAGACGCAGGCCTACCTCTCACTGCCCATGTTAAACTCCGGGAGCAGGGCCCACGGGCACTGCCAGGAGTCTGCCCATCTGTGCAATAACCGTAGCACGGAGTTGGTGGAGAATTCAGTGCGCCCACGTGGGCCTGCGCTTGGAGCAGTACCCGGCCCGTTGTAAGCACTCGGCCAATATTAGCTCTTTGTCGAATTGACCTGAGTGGCTTCTTGCCTCAGAGGCTGGGGCTGTCGTGCTCTTCTCAGGCCAGAGACTCCTGGCCCCCTTGCCCCTTACTTCTGGAGCTTTCCCAAGGGCTTCACAGCCTCAAGGGGCGGGGCTTACATCCCTCGGCTGCACAAATGCTCTGCAAAGCTACAGCACTGCTTCTGTGTGAGCGTCACCTGCTCTGGCTCTGGGGGAGGCCCCCACTCACTAACCCCCAAATTGAGTGAATTCTGGTCTAATTCAGACCAGCAGAGTCTTGTGCCAGGCACTGTCATATACGTCTTCATCTTGAGTTCTTACTATAACCCACGACAGGGTGACTGCTCCTATGGTCCCCACTTGACAGATGAGGAAATCGGGGGTGGGTGTCATGTGATTCTCCCAAGGTCACTCACCCACAGCTAGTTAGTGGCAGAGCCAGGATTTGAACCCAGGCAGTCTGGCTCCAAGTCCAGTGCTCTTTCCACTAAAAGGAGCCATGGGGGAGATTCTGGGGGGGGCGGCAGCAGGGACCTCAAGCCCCCCTCCCAAGGCACCCCACCCAGCCCTGCCACCTGCTTACCTGGATGGAGACTGGGAAAGCAGAGAGGCGACCCATGCCTGCCTGGTTCCACGGCCCACTGGCGCCTCAGGATGCAGAGGGTAAGCGAGCTCAACCAGCAGAGGGGCTTTGCCCCCTGGGCCCCTTCAGGTCTGGCTCCCAGAGGCCAGAGAGGGGCAGGGGCTGGGTGCAGTGGGTCAAAGTGCCAAGGGCACGGCCAGCCCAGGGGGCACCCCCTGCACACTGCTCATCCCCGGATGGCTCCTTGGACCGCTCTGTGCTCATCCTTTGCCCAGCAGATGGTTTGTCCACCTGTCTGCTCCCCCTGGCCAAGGAGTCAAAGCACCACAAGCCTCAAGCCAGGCCAGAAATTAGGTGGCGGCCAGCATGGAGCCCACGGTGACCCAAAGGGAACCAGACAAGGCGGGTGAGCACGTGTATGGGGGAGGCTGCCCTCCTCAGAGCAGAGGCTCTCCTGCCCCAACCTGACTGGGAAGAGGGAGGGATTCCCAGACCACTTCCTCCAGTGCCCCCTCCCTGAGTGCAGTCCCCTGGGGGTGCAGACAGCAGGTTCACCCCAACGTTCCCAAGAAAAGATAAAGAGAAAATAAGTGCAGCAGGACAACAGCAAGGACTGAAGTTAGAGAGAAGGAAGAACTTCCCAGTGCTGAAAGAGCCAGCCACCAAGGAAGGGCATGACTTTCTTCTACTCCAAGTTCCCTGACCACTGGGGCCACACAAGAGAGGGAGGCTGTAAGTGAGCCTTTCTCCTGGGGTGTCCTGACCCCCAGTGCAAGGCATAGGTTCTAGTGGGAGAGCCCCACCAGGCACCAGTGGCGGAGGAGGGGCTTCTGGAGCAGGGACTAGGCAAGGGCTCAGGATGAAGTCAGATTTTGAGTTGGACCTAAAGTCACGTAGTGAGCAGGATCCAAGCTCCAGTCTTGGACCAAGACAAAACCCAGGCTCTGGGTCAGCCCTAAACTCTGGCTGCAGCTTGGAACAAAATACCCAACTCAGAATCAAGCCTGTAAGAAAATGCGGCCACAGAGGAGGGCGGGGGGGCGGTGGGGAGTCGGGGGGCGCCGGGTACCAGACTGCTAGAGTCTCCACACCTGTCCTTGGAGACGTGGAGGGGTGAGTCCAGGCAGGCGGGGCTGTGGGAGCAGCGGGACTTGGGGAGGTGACTGGCATGTTAGCGGGTTAGTGTGAGAGGTGAGGAGAGGAAGGTGTGGAGGCACAGGCAGAGAGAGAGCCGTGAGAGGTGGAGGGCAGCCCGTTACCTTCCATGTGGGGCCCTGGGCTGAGCCCCCAGGGGGCCCCAGATCCTGGGGTGCCAGCAAGGTGGGGATCGGCTGGCGGCGGGGCGTGGGGGGGAGGGAAGACACTGAGCTTCTCTCAAACACCTGGGGAGCAGAAGGTGGGGGCAGGTTTGGAGAAAGGGGCATAGGGAGGACAGGGGTGCTGGTCTAAGGCCCATAGGGAGGGACCCCAGCCTTACTCCTTGGCCCCTCACCATGCTCACTGGCCACTCTGCCCTCTGTCTCATCTCCTCCTCCGGAGGCCTAGGTGGTCAGGGTCTCCAGCCACTTGGGGAGGGGGGCTGAGAACACTTGAGTACGGGCAGGGAGCTCAAGGTACTTGGGGATCAGTGTGTTAAAGCACTCTGTTCTCAGAACATTCAGGGCTGGGTGTGTCAGAGCCTAGGGGGTCTCGGGGCAGTTGTGGGGATCTCAGAGACTACAGTGGAAACACTCAACCCTGCAAAGACCCCCTCCCCCCATTTTACAGTGGCAGAGAAATCGAGGCAAGAAGGACGGGTTCCCATATAGGCCAGCCCTCGGCAAGAGCACAGGACCCCAGGCACCCCCGCCCCCAGCCCCATATCCCGGGGTCAGCTTGGTGGGGAAAGGAAGGGGGCTGGCTGAGGCCTCGGGACCAGGTATGCCCCGACCTACCTCTAGCTCGGCGATGATGCGGTCCTCATCGTCCTCATCTTTGATGGCAGACGCCATGATGGGCGGCGTGGAGGCCGGGCGGGCCACCTCGGACACGGTCCGGCGCAGCTTCACTTGGGGCTTCTGCACCTCCAGCTCCTCGGACTCGGCCTTCTGCGAGGCCCAGGCCCCCGTCAAGACCAGGCTCTGCCCCCCTCCAGCACCAGCTCGCGTCCTCGGCCCCATCAGTGCCAGACCACTTCCTGCCCCAGCTCCTCATCTGCCGTTTCCGCTGTCCCCTGTCCCCTGCCAGGAGGCCCCCCTTCCCGCCGTGGAAGCCCGAGCTGGAGGCAGAGTCGCCCTGGGCCAGCTCCCTTCTTTCCTTCCGCCCCAGAGGGTCTTCAAAGGTCCCCTTGGGTATCCCGCCGCCCCAGGTGGGGTCGGTACCTTGATGAAGGCCGACTCCTTCTTGCTGGTGACCACCACCTCTCCCGTGCGTGTGGTGGTGAGGCCGTGGGAGGAGGGGAAGCTCCGGCGGGGCGGGGGTGGCGGGGGCGACTTGGAGGGCTTCTCCGTGCGGTACCGAGGCACTGTCAGCTCATCTGCGGGCAGCCAAGGGGCTGGGGGTCAGGGGACCCTTAACCTTGGAGTCCGGGCACCCAGGGGAGAAACCTTGCTTCCTCCTCTGGGGAGGAGGGGAGAGGGAAGCTCAGGGAGAGGACACAGGCCCCTCCTCCTTCTCTCTCACCTCCCGACGGAACCAGGCCCGGCACCCCTCTTAGTTTACTCAAAGTGTGGCCCGCCGGGCCACCGACCAGCAGCACCTGCAGCACCTGCAGCACCTGGGAGCCTGTTAGAAATGCAGAAGCTCAGGTCTCCCCCACAGCTGCTGAACCAGAATCCACATTCTGACGGATCTTCCGGTGATTTCACGCACACATTCGAGTTTGAGAAGCGCTGCCTTAATCCATCCATCTCTTTCCCCCTGCCCTTCAGCTGCGACTCCGCACCAGTCTTCCTCTCTTCTCCATCAAGAGACAGCGGTTACACTTGCAAGAGCCCGACGCTACCCATCAGGCGCTCCCTGCCCCTGTTTCTTCAGGGGTGGAGGCGGTTTCCAGGGCAACCTACAGAAAAGTCACTCAAACCCGACCCTCCTCTGCCTTTGAGCCCCAGTGGCTTCCCATGACCCCGAACCATGTCCGTGCTCCTTGGCCCAGCATCTTCCACGCATGCCAATGTTTCAGCTTCAGCTCTGCTTGCTCCTTCCTGGCCTGAACCCCGCTCAGTAACACCAAACACACCCATCCGGGCATTTGCACGTGCTGTTCCCTCTTGCTGAAATGCCCTCGCTCACTGGCCAGGGAAAAGCCTACTTGTTTTCAAGACTCAAGGGGAAATGACGTGCAGTGACGTGCAGTGGGAAGCCCTCCCCGCCCTCCCAGGGCCTCCTGTAGGACTGCACCCCACTGCTGCAGTTAGCACCCACATCCCGTGTCTGGTCTACACACTGAGCAGGGCCTGGGACAGATCCCTTTGCTACACTGAGCCTTAGTGTCCTCATCTGCAAAATGGGAATAATTACTGTAGCTGTCTCCTGGGGTTGCTGCAAAATTGTAAGGATTAATATATAGAAAGCATCTGGGGTAGTTCCTGTCACATAATATGTGCTTGATAAGCAAAAATGCTAGTATTACACCCCCACTAAATTTTAAGCTCCTTGAAAACAAGCAGTGTCTTTTCTCCTTATCCCCAGCACCCAGCACCCAGTACCCAGCACCCAGTAGGTGCTTGACAAATACAGAGAACAAGAACGAATAAATGAAGGAATGATGACTGCTATTTCTGGTTGGATTTCTGCCTCCCCTGTGAGTTCGCAGGCTGGTGGGGCGGGGGGGGAGACACAAAAACCATGTCCACGAGGACCAGCACCACGCCCGTCTCGGCACGGCCAGGGTCAGAGCACACGCGTGGTCACTCTTGGCCCGGACTTGCTCTCCTCCCTGTGTGGGCCTCTCAGCCGCAGTCAGGGCAGTGGGAAAAGCCCCTGATGAAGTCCAGCTCCCCCCTGTCCTCTGGGTCTCCCCAGCTGAGGGTCAGGCTGCTGAGGCCCCAGCACCTCCCCTCTCTGGTAGTCCGACCCCAGAGATTCTTCCGCCCAGGTGCCTCCCCCATCAACCCGAGAGCTCCTGAAGATGGGGCTCCCCTCTTCTGGGCTCTTCACCAGTCCCCTACCCGTCCCCATACCTGAGCCCCTCCTTCCACTTGGCTCTGTTCGCGGGGCTGCCTTCTGGCCATGGGGGACCTTGGGGGGCTTGTGGTCAGGGGTGGGGGCCAGGCCTGGGTGGGCCTTGCTCGCACAGTCCAGGTCAGGGATGGCCTTCAGCAGCTCTGCCTGTGTCTCCTCCAGCAGCCGGTTGATGTCCTTGGCGCTGTACTGGGTCAGAGCTGCCCGCTTCTCCTCCCAGTCTCGCTCGGCAGCCTGGAAACGAGGAGCGGGGGTCAGTCCTGAACAGGGGCTGCAGGCCCTTCCCCCAGCCACACGTGCCAGGAACGGAGAAGGAAGTTTGGGGGACCCTCAGACTTGAGTATTCTCTGCTTTCCCTGTAAGTCTGGAATGCCACCACCATTATATACTCCTCTCTTGATAATACTTAGCCCTGTTTTGGAACATTCTACTCTGTTTCATTGACCACATAGTCTATTCTTAGGCCAACACCACACTGCCTTGATTGTTATCGTTTTAGAAAATGTTTTTCTGTCTGGGAGAACTCATGCCACCATCAACGTGTCTCTCAGACTTCCTCCTCCCCCAGGAAAAAGTACCCCCACGTGTTGGCACTTCCCAGTCTAGGACAGTGGTAAGAATGTGTGAGCTGAGCTCATGCACCCCCCAGTCCTGGGCCCAGCACCTCAACAGACACAGCCTTGTCCACGCTTCTCTTGCCAGCAGCATCCAGGCCTTTGGTGGGGTTGCTCCCCTTGGGAGTAGGAGGGGCTCCCTCGGCCGGCCCACTCAGCTCGTGGAGGTTCAGTGGAGGGCTGGGGGGTGGCATTTCGAAGTCCAAGCTCTTGTTGAAGTCTGTCTCAGCCGTCACCTTCTTGGGGGACTGATTCAGGAGGTTGTTGGGGGGTGGCCACACACCCTCGTCCACTTGCCTGGGGTTGGGAGAGTTAGGAGCAGTTGTGAGGCCCGCATGTTGGTGGCCCCATGCAAGCAAAGCCTGGCCTGGGGGAGGCAGGGTGCGAGGAGGGCTCTGGGATCTTGCAGGACAGATGCAGGGGCCTGGGGAGGAGCGACCTCATCCAGCATCAGGGAGAGCCAAGCCTACACCGTGCCAGGGGTCACAGGTCAGCGGGGAGGTACAGATCCAGTTGGCACACCAGTGACCTCTAGAGGAGTCAGGGTAAGGGGTCAGGCTAATCTATCAATGCCCGGTGTGTGGAAATCGGAGGTCGGAGATAAGAGGTCAGGGAGGGAAAGACCTTCGGATCTGGGCCAGCATGTCTGTGACCCCACGGCAGCGTTTGAGAAGCCCGTCCAGGCGCTGTGGCTCCTCCTTCAGGAACTTCACGGCCTCCACCTCCACACGCAGCACAACCCGCATCTTGCTCTGCAGGCCTGGGAAGTGAGCTGAGGGGACCAGAGGAGTGAGCTGGGGAGGGAGCAGCTCCAAGGACAAGGGAGGATAGGCAGCAGGAGGGCAGGGCCTGGGGGTGGGGCTGGGCGTGGGGGTGCAGCAGGGACTTCCGGCCTGGACCGCATGCCACACTCTCGCCTCCTCGCCTCTGGGCTCACCCTTGAGCTCGGTCAGCGTCTCCCCGAGCTGCTTCAGCACCAGGGCCTTCTCCTCCAGCTCCGGCCCCGGCACCAGCCGGTGGTTGTGCGACACATCCCGCTGGATCTTCTCCACCGACTTCTCCAGGTCACTGCAACCAAAGAGAGACCCCCTCAGCCCCTCTGGCCCCAGCCCAGCCCCCTGAAATTGGGCAAATGGCAAGAAATGAGGCCACCAGTCAGATCAAAATTAAAAGCCATCCACCAGGCTACATGCCCAAATGAAATCAGAAATGCCAAACCCCAGAGATAAGACTTCAGACGAGTTCCCTAATAGGTGCCCTGGGTCCCCCCTGCCCGCGCCCTCCCGGCGCCGTCGAAGTTCGGTCCTTAGCAACATCAACCCAAATCTTCTCCCTATAACTTGCATCCTCTGGTTCTCATTCTGCCGAGGAAGCAGCAGAGAACCCGGTGGCCTTTCAGGGAACTGCAGGCAGCTGGCTGCACGTGCCCCTCCGAGGTCTCTTCTCCTGAGCAGAGGCACAGCCACGCCCCCTTAACCTTTCCCAGCTCTCCAGACGCTCAGCCTCTTTCCTTGAGGACGAAACTGCTTTCAACTGTCAGAGGCTTTATGCTGAGCTTGTGCCGTTTTAAACCCCACATCTTTCTAAAATGGAAGTCACACCACGTCATTCCCCCGTGTTGAACCCTACACGGATCCCGTCATCCTGAGGCTAAACACCAAGTGAAGAAGGGCATGAGGGTAGTAGGTGAAAACTTGGCTCTAGAGTCAGACAGATCCAAATGCCAATCCCAGCTCTGCCCCACCCAGCAGAGAGATCTCAGACAAGTTACCTACTATGTTCGGGCTGCAACCTCCTCATCCAAAAAATGGGGGTAGTAAGAGTTCTTCCCTCCAGGGGTCATTGCGAAGATTAAATGAGCCAATGCAGGGGCGCCTGGGTGGCTCAGATGGTTAAGTGGTTAAGCGTCTGCCTTTGGGTCAGGTCATGATCCCAGGGTCCTGCGATCAAGCCCTGAGTTGGGCTCCCTACTCAGCTGGGAGCCTGCTTCTCCCTTCCTGTGCCTCTCCCCCTGTTCGTGCTCTCTCTCTCTCAAATAAATAAATAAAATCTTAAAACAAATAAGTGAGCCAATGCAAATGGGAAAAGGGCGGTAAAGGGTCAGTCCCTGGGGGCTGCTCTTAGTTTCCCTCCAGCCACATCCCCTGTCGTCATCTGGCTTGCTTTTGTTTAGAACTGTCCACAACTTCTCCAAGGTCCTTGTATATGCTGCCCTCTCTGGGCCTTTATAATGCCATTTCCTCTGCCTAGAACACTCCATTCACACACACACACACACACACATGCACACATACCCACACAAGTGTGACTAATCCCCACTCCTCCCTCAGGTCTCAGTGGGAACTGCTCCCCCACTCCCTACACTTGGGGTTGGGGGTCTGCTTCCTGCCTCACAAACCCTCAGAGCTCTTGCAAGCTAGGCTGTGTAGCTCCTGGCAGGCAGGGATCATGTCTTCTGGATTTGTCTCCAGGTGCCAGCACCTGGCCCGGTGCCTGGAGCAGAGTAGATGTTTGGTAAATAATTGTGGAATGAATGGGTAAGTGAAAGAAGGGACTTCAGCCCTGGCAGGTCATCTCGATTCTGTGACTTGAGTCACTGACATCCCTGACCCACATGCAGGACTTTACATACATCCTTGTCACATCCCATCTGCTGGATTTAAGCTCAACAATCCAGGTGGAAACAACTTTCGAATAGCAGTTCTACCATCCAACAGATTTGCTTCCCCTCAAAGCGCTGTGTCACTAGCAAACCTTATCAGCATGCCTATACATCCTCATCCAACTAGTGGATGAAAAGACCACCCTGGAGCAAGGACAAAATCCTGTGACTCAGCACTGCCATCTGAAGCGCTCTCTTGTTCTGAGCACTTACTGTACACCAGGTGCCATGGGCAGCCCTCCACTTTCATTACCTTATTTAATCCTCACCAGCAATCCTGGGCGTGGAAGCCATTAGTACCTCCCGTTTACACACAAACCGGAGCTCAGACACCAGACTACATTTCCTAGCCTCCCTTGAGGTTAGAAATGGCCACGACTCAGGTCCAGCCAATGCAAAAGGAGTTGAAGAGGAACATGCTGCCTCCAGGCCATCCCATAAAAACCTCCTACAGAAGCTCCTCCATGCTCCTTTCCCCTTCCTATGGGTTGAAAGGCACCGACCCTGTGCATGATCTTGGAAGGCACATATTGAAGATGACCAAACCTCCATTAGCCCAGGTCCCTGAATGGTTGCATGGAGGAGGGTCATTCACTAACCCACCCAGTACTGTTCTGTGAGAAAAAAAAAGGATAGGTCCGTTACTTTTGAACCATTATATGATTTGTTATAGCAGTTACCCTAACTAATACAATGAGCTTTGGCATTAAAAAAAAAAAAAAAAAGAGGCTCAGGGAGATGAAGTGGCTTGTCAAAGGTTATAGAACTATTTTGTGGCAAAGCAGAATCTACTCATGTCTGACTTCAGCCATTGGATCACGCCATACCCATCCCTGTCCCGCCCAGTCCGTGCTCTGCCACGTGGGAAAGAACCACTGTTCTTCCCTGCTGTGTGTGACACCTGGCTGGCTCAGGGTGTACGGGTTTTGTAAAATGGTCACGCCCGAACATCACTCCGAGGGGGGAGAGAGACTCTCATTTAAAGGAGGACTCAGGTAAGCCTTTGGGAGGACACAATACTGCAACTCTCGGGCAGGACTAGGTCCTCCTTAGGCTCAATTAGCACCTCGATTTTCTGATCAAGAAACCTGCCCAAATTTTGGAAGGGCTGATTTGGACAGGCTCTGCAAATGAGCCCCAGACTGGTCCAAGTCTAGCCACCATTAGCAGAAAGTGGCTGGGCTTTCCCCGTCCCAGGTTCAGTCCTGGAGGGGTGGAGAGCACAGGGTCAGGACAGAGCCAGCTCTATAATTTATGGGGCCCAATGAAAAATGAAGTTTTTGCCCCTAGTTAAAAAATTATTAAGAATTTCAAGATAGGGATGCCTGGGTGGCTCAGTCGTTAAGCGTCTGCCTTCGGCTCAGGTCATGATCCCAGGCGCCTGGGATGGAGTCCCGAATCAGGTTCCCTGCTCAGCTGGGTGTCTGCTTCTCCCTTCTCCCTCTGTCACTCCCTCTGCTTGTGCTCTCTGTCTGTCTGTCTCTCTCTCTGACAAATAAATAAATAAAATCTTTAAAAAAAATAGAATTGCAAGATAACAACAGCAGAGCATGGAGCCATTAGGAGCGTGGGGCCCTGTGTGGCTGTGCAGTTGGCAGGCCTACAAAGCCCGTGCTGGCTTAGTCCAAGTTAGGCTCCAGAGGCCAAAAGGTCTCAAGTCAGCAGAGGGTACCCCTCAGAGCAATGTCTAGACAGAGCTCAAGTGCTTGGCTAGAAAAACAAGTGAGAGAGCCACGCTGAATGAAGCACGGAATTGGCTTTAACTTCCAGCAAGATGGTGGGGCAAGAGGAAGAGGCAGAGCAAAACAGAGCAAGAGCAAAGCATACAGGAGCTGCAGCCAGAGCAGGGGTAAGGATGGGCCTGCTGGTCAACCTAATGCCCAGGGAGGCTATGGGAGCTGGCAGGGAGGGCTCTCATAGCCAAGCCAGAGCCACTGCAGGGCTGATGTCCAGCCCAGCCCAGGCCGCCCCCCAAAAAAGCAGGAACCCCTTCAAAGTGCATGGAGAATCCTACCAGAAGCAATGGATCAGCCCCCAAACTCTCTCAAGTGAGCAGCTTGAACAGGGGGTTTGATAACAGGACAGAGGGTAGGGAGTCTGTGTGCTTCCAGAGAACTGAGGGCCCCGGGGAGGCAGAGGACCAGACGCTCCTATGACAAAAGCTTAAATCTGTCCTTTCATCTCTTCTGCCTCTGTGCTTTTATATTTTCTTTTATTTTCCTTTAATGTCTCAGTAAATTTCCTTTTAAAAATCCCAACCCAGCTCCTCTGTGCTGAGTGAAAAGGGGCAAGGAGAGGACAGAAAAGTTGGGTAAATGGAATTCTCTGGGGGGGGGTGACAGCTGCCAGTCTACTTGGAGATCTGACTGAGGTTGTCACTAAGCTTTCACACCTGAAATGATGGGGTGGCTGCTGCCAGCTTATTTCCAAGTGAGAGGGTCCCTTACTTCATCACAGCCACAAGGGGTCACAGGACTCTTTGCTTTCCACTCCCCTGAAGTACACAGGCTGTGTGGGCCCAAGGCTGAGAAGTAGGGACCCTTCTCAAGGAGCCCGTTTTGCAAGCTGGGCTCTTCTGAGAAGCCTCTCCTGGCTCCCCAAGTCACTGTCCAGTAGAACCCAAGCTTCCCTGGAGAGAACTGCAAAAATCTCAATACTGGGCACAGATAAGGAAGCTGAAGCGCAGAGGAGGGCAGAAACTGTCCTGATCACATAATCTCTCAATGCTGGAGCTGGACCTCGGGTCCCTTTGTGCCCTGTGCCACCAAGAGGGAGGCCAGAGAAAGGAGCAGACCCTAGCGACTGACACGAGAAGGCTGCTGTGGGGTGGGGGTGCTCACTCAGTGGATGGACAGCAAAAGGCAGCTTCTCCCTTCAACAGTGCCAGACAATGGGATCTTGGCCAGACAGCCATTTGCTAAATTTGGATCAGAGGACTGTCTCCCGTTAACCCTTCCATGTCTAAGCATTTGGGAGCTGGGTGTTCTCTATTCCTCACTCTTTCTGAAAAAGATAGAGCTTTGTTTTAGCAGCACCAGGTCGGGAGGAAGGTTTTCCTTGGCAATACCTGGTCTCAAAGATCAGGGAATTGGAGTGGTGGCAGTTGCAGCTACCCAAGGGTCACTCTGTATAGGTCATGGGACAGAATTAAAGCAGACAAAGGACAGAGTGGAATCCTGCAGCTGGCCACATGAAAGTAAGGTCAGGGGGAAGCCAGACTGTGGATCGTGAGGAAGCAAAAACATAGCAAAAACAGGGCATCAAGCCAGAAAAAGAAAAGAAATCAGGAATTGTGCCAGATGGCCAAAGGTTTGTGGGTCACAGAGAAATCAAGCCACAGAGGAGAAGGAAATCAGGCTTCAGACCAGACCAACGTCACCTGTGATTCAGAAGGAAGGGAGCTGCGCCTCCCAGGGAAACCAGGTTGCGGCCCAGGCCGCTCCCCCGGCCCTCCCTCCTCCGCCCGGGAGCCCAGCCTCACTTGAGCTGCTGGGTAATGAGCTCCTCGTCGTTGAGATAGCGCAGCCGCTCCTCCTCCACCAGGGTGCGCTGCCGCTGCAGCGGGTCCTCCTGCCGCCGCGCCGCCTCCGACACGCGCATGCTCAGCTCCGCCTCTGTGCCCTTCAGCAGCGCGCGCAGCGACTCCAGGTTTTGTAGCTGCGGGACGCAGAGGGACCGATGGACCCGGGTGGGAGGGGATGGAAGTGTTCGGCAGAGGAAGAGCCGGGGCGGGGGGGGGAGGGCGGGGGGAGGCGGGCAGAGAACAGCCCGATGCTGGGCGGGCTCCACAGAAGAAGCGGCTGCTTGGCTGCGGCCGTGAGCAGCAGCGAAAGGGCAGGATGGGGGAAGCAGAGGCCCAGGACTAAACTCTGGGGAAGAATAGAGGCAGGAGGAGAACGGCACGGGGATCGTGGAGGGAGAAGTGCTAAATTGGGGAATGCAGAACATGCGGCTGCGTGGCTGTGGCTGTGAGCAGCAGCAAAGGGCTGATGGACGGGGCGGAGGACAAGGTTGCGGGCCGCGGAAATAGAGTCAGGAGAACCCGGATGGGCATATTTGGGGGGCAAGAGGTAGCCCTATGTAGGGCCGTGCCGACCTTGCGGCTGCAGAGCCGTGGCTTCGATGAAAGACTTGAGCCTGGGGTTTGATAGAGCTTCCGTGGCTGGCGCAAGATTAACTTAACTTCTAAGGCCGAGTTGGGGCAATGATGGGGTGGGTGAGATCTTACCCGTTGCCCAGATGGCAACTCTCTGCCCCCTCTCCAGCCTGTCTCTGCTCATTATTCTCACCTGACGGGCCCCAAGGCCCTCTCGAGGAGCGGGCACAGCGATGCCAGGCTCCTGACTGGTGGGACCATCTGCCAGGCGGGGCAGAGCGGGGAAGACTGTGCGGACTCAGGAAGGGGTGGTGGAGGGGATCTAGGGGGAGGGCTTCCGCCCAAGGGAGGGGAGGGGAGAAAGAATGCTGGGAAAGAAGGAATTGGGACTGCCCTGAGGGATACTGACAGGGGGAAGGGGCTCAGTGGGGTGGACTGGGGCTCCAGGAGAACGGTGAGTATTCAGGGAAGGGGAAAGAGGGCGTAGTGAGGGGAACAGGAGCGAGTGGTGGGGCTCAGTGAGGGAGCAGAGATTCAGCGAGCGAGCGGGAGCGTGAGGAAGGGTAAGGGGAGAAAGGGTTTGCAGAACGGCCCAGTGACCCGCAAGGAACTCCGATGAGGGTGTAGGGCATGGGGCGAGACCTGTAGGAAGGGTTTTCGGCGCGAGTGGGTGGGGTCTGTCGGGGAGGGGCTTGAGGGGGCGGGCACGGGGCGAGGCCCCGCAGCCGGCAGTACCTGGAGCTTTCGGCAGTACCTGGAGCTTTCGCAATTGCTGAAGTTGGCTGCGCAGGTCGCTGGTGCTGTTCTGCAGGCCACGCAGGTGCAGCTGCATCTGCAAACGGCTGAGGGCCGTGGGCTGCCCCGCAGGAGTGCTGCCGGCCGAGGGCGGGGGAGGGCCGGACACTGGGGTGGCGCCGCTGCTCCGGCTGCCTGACCCACAGGCTGCAGAGAGGGACCACGAGGATGGGAGAAAGACAACAAACCTTGAGCCTGCAAGGGGCCAGGACAAGGCCTTTCCCACCCCTGATCCTCACAGTAGCCAGAGAAGCACGTGGCTCTGACCCCCTGCCCCAACTAGTGGGTCAGCCCTTCTGTGAGGAGCAAAGCACCAGGGCAAAGCCATCTTGGGCTAAGGTGACTGCTCATTGATCCACCGAAGCCCAGTGATGTAGCTGATGGTTTAATTCCCACTTTACAGATTAGGAATGTGAGGCTCGGAGAAGGCAAGTACACTCACGTGCTGAGGGGGTGCCTGCTCCATTGGAGCCTTCAATCTTCTCACTGTGGCACAGGGAAAAAAGGGCCATCAGAGGGTCCAGGCTGACCCCAGACCGTCAAAACTGAGTGAGACTTTAACACAATCGCCTCCAGTCCCCTGATGTCAGGATAGAATCCCAGAGAAGGAAAAGGGCTCACCCAGAGTCACACACTGCGACATTGGCAGAGCTGGTCCTAGTGCTGCTGCTGCCCACTTTCCCTTCCTCTTGCCCCAACCATAAGCCCTGGCAGTGGTGTTTAAAGAAGAACCTTACCTGGGGGTCTCAGGCTCCGAGCCTCGTAGTAGGGCGCTCTGTACCAGGCCTGTGAGGCTGGCAATCTGCTTCTCCATGGCCTCCATGCGCTCCCTGGAGAGGGTGGTGGCTCTGAGCAATCCCTTCTCTGGGCTTGGGGTCCCTCTTGCCCAGCCCCTCATTCTTAAGATTGATAATTAGAGGAAATACCATTCCCTCCTCAGCCACCAGCACACAGACAATTTAGAGGGCCCCAATGCCAAAGGTTCAAGCCCAGAGTCCCCCACCTAACATTGGTAAGGCCCCTTTCCATCTGACAGTCACCCCCTCCCTTGCCAGCCCCATCTCTCACTACTGGCTCCCTAATGGGCCCCACTACCAGGCCTCTTGTGCCCTTTCCTGACATGCCCTCCTCCCTATGTCCCCCCTGAAGCCATCCCAGAGCCCCAGTAGCTTTAAGGAGTCCCTCCTCCCACACCACATATATACCCTCCCAAGGGAAGTACAAGTATTTTTTAATGTGTCACCCCCACTAGACAAGGCAGGAACCAGGTTTGCCCAGCTCGTCATCCACAGTACCCAGTGCAGTGCCTGGCACACAAGCCACAAGACAGCTGTGTGAATGTGAATTGCTTCTCATCTCTTGGAAACACTGCCTGAGGACAGAACGGGATGGGTCAATGCTCTGGGTATCTCCTCCAGCCCTGCACCCTTAGGATGGAGCTGAATAATGGGCAAGGGTTCCCCAGCTTGGAGGCTACCTAACGGTATATACCTCTCTGCCCATCCCTATTTCTGGGCAGCACCCCCTCCCCAGTGGACTTCAGCCGACCGTGTGCTGGACAGCTCTCATGGCTGCAAACTCTGAGCAAGAAAAGCACTAGAATGCTGGTTCAGCCTGTTTTTGTTGCGGAAACTGAGGTTCAGGGAACAGATGCAAACCCAGGTTTCCAGAGACCTTGTCTGAGGCCCTTTCATCTAATCCCCAGATCTTGCAGAAGGAAGGAAAATGGCCTGTCCATCTCTCCAGTGCCTTTCCTGCCACAAATAATTCCCCGGAACCCTCAAGATTACTCCGGGTCTACAAAGGACCCTGGGGCCTCACAGCCCAGGACACAATCCTGCCACAGGCTCTGCCGTTGTCCCCTCATTCCACCCCACCCCTAAGAGCCCCAAGGCCTCGTGAGCGTCCCTCACCTGGTCTCCGTGTCCTTGGCTGGCACCGGCGGCCCAAACCCAACGAGCGGGCGCTCCCCAGGCCCGGGGAAGAGCTCGGGAGGGGGAGCTCCGGCCGTCGAGGAGCCCCCCGTGCTGCGGGTCTTGCCTCCCGGGCTCTCTGCGAAGACGGACGAGGAGCCCGAGTCTTTGCGGAAAGACTGGCGCACCGGCGAGCCGCGGCTGGGCGGCCCCGAGTAGGGGCTGTGCGGAGGCTGGGGGCCTCCGGGGGGCGCCGCCACATCGGCCAGCTTCTGCGGCGACGAGGGCGGCAGGCGGAAGCCGTAGCCGTCGCCGTAGAGCGGGCCACCGCCCGCCGCCTTGTACAGCGAGTCCTCCAGGTCGGACTGCAGCGCGGCGGCCGAATAGGTGCTGAGTGAGCGCACCGAGCCGCGCTTGTAGAGGCCGCTGGCCCCCGGGTAGGCGAACGGGTCGCCGGCGGCCGCGGCCAGGCTCAGGCGGCCCTCGTGGAGCAACCCGTAGGGGTCGGCGTACAGGCCCTCGCCCTTCACCAGCACCATGCCGCCCGCCTTGCCTGCCAGGTCCTCGTCCGGCTTCACGTCGCGCCGCTCCAAGATGGCGCTGGGGCTGGGGCTGACGCCCTGGGCGGCTGGGGCGCCCCCCAGCCGCTCGGCCGCGTGGTGCACCGGGCTGCCAGCGTAGGAGGGCGGGCGCCCCCCGGCGTAGGAGAGGCGCGAACGCGACGGCGAGCCCGACTGCAGCCCCGAAGGCAGCCCCGACGGCAGCCCCGGGGGCGGAGAGCTGGACGCCAGGTGCGGCGCCGGCGACAGGTTGTTGAGACGCCGTGTGGGCGACGACTCCCGCGAGGCATACACCATCTCTCTCTGCGCAGAAGACAGTCCAGAACCCCACAGTGCTGGTCACAAAGGGGATCCCTTGCGCCTTGCTTAAGGAGACAGCATCTTCCCCCTGATGCTTAGGAAGTCCTTTCTGTCCTCTGCCTTCCCTCGCTGCCGCTGTATTTGGGCCCCTTTCCCATCAGGGCTCCCAGCATGGAGGAAGAAGTGGCAGACGGAGAGGCACTAGAGGGGCAACCCGCGGCCCACCCTGTCGCGAAGGTTGGGGAAGCAAGAAGGGAAGCAGTAGTTTCTGATAGAGGACCCCTACAATACCTAGAGGCCTGTTGGAAAAATCCTGAATGGAGAGGAGGGGGGCATGGAAGATGAGGGGAAGGACCCTTGCATGACCACAATTAGTGGAAGCCACCCTCTGCTTCAGCCTCTATGTTCCCTTCTCCAAAAACTGGCCTTCATCCCTGTTGACAAGTAACTAGACTCTGCTGCTGGACCCCATCTGCCCAGCCTCCCCAATGCCCTGGGGATCCCCAGCCATACCCGGAGGTCTCCGTTGGTAAGGTGTGAGCCAGGGAAAGCGGCGTAAAGAGGCTCCTTCCTATAGATCTTGATAATACTTCGGTCCTGGATGTCCCTGGGGGGAAGGGGAAGGTGCAACGGGTCACCACCCCTCAGCCCTGCGATAAGGACGGGTAGCTACTACAGGAAGAGGGAAGAGGGGTGGCAAGAAGGGCCAAGAGCTCCAACCGCTTCCTAGCTTCTTGCTCAGTGCCTCAGACTGCCTGCCACCAACACACACTCCGCAGCCTCCACCCCGTCCAGCTAGTCGGCCCCGTGCACCCTTCTCAGGTTAGCTCGAGCCAAATGAGCCAGCAGGGGTGGATGATTTAGAGGGGAGGGGCTGGATGACCGAGGAAGGAGAGAAGGGCTGAGGTTGGGTCAGGAGGGGGCTGGGGAGGGAAAGAGCCGCGGAGTCGAGGCCCCCCCCCCGGCAGAGGAGGAGCCTGGGGAAGCCCACCCCTCCCCCCGGGGCCACGCCCACCGGACGTCCTCCAGCTCGTAGAAGACGTTGCGAGCCTCGTCCTTGATGAGGATGGCTGTGTTGGGCGACTTAAGCATGCCCATGGTGAGCTTCTGCGGGAACATGTGTGCGATGAGCGCGTGCAGCGTGTCCAGGCTGCTGACCTCGTGCGTGATGTGCACGCGCCGAGTCTCCTCCCCGAACTGCAGGAACAGCACCCCTGCGAAGGAGAGGCCACCTCCGCTGTCAGAACCACTGCCGCCACCGCCACCACCACGCCGGCCGGGAGAGCGAGGGGGGCCTTCGGGGGCCGCGCTGGTCCTGCAGAGGCAGGGTCTGAGGCCCGACGCGGCCCCGGAGTGCAGGTGCACCCATGCACTCCTCATGCTGCCGTCCCTTCAAGGCGCCTCCTCAACCCCGGGCGGGTAGGAGCCTGGACGAGGAAAGGGAATTAGGGGCAGGAGCAGGTGCGGCAGACTCCGGCAGACACAGAGGGAGTCGTTGCTGAGGGGGAGAGAGGTGAGCAAGTGGGGGATGAAGGAAAGGGGGGGCTGCTGAAAGGGGTGAGGGAAAGAGGAGGCTGGGAGAGAAAAGGATGGAGCAGGGGCTGCTAAGGGAGGGAGGGAAGGGGTGGGGGAGAAGCCGAGGAGGGAAAGGCCCCAAGGGGAGGAGACTGCTGAGGGACAGGGAGGTGGGAAGGTGGGGAAGGGAGCCAGGGGTTTGGTTAAGGAGAGCTGGAGTGGTGAAGGGGGTGAAAAGGGTTGTAGGGTGAGCAGGGCAGAGGGAGGAGCCAGTGGCCAGGAGGAGGGTGGGCCGGGCCAGCAGTACCTGGCGAGCGCAGCTTGGTCTGGCTGGCAGAGCGGGAGAGGGGCAGGCTCTGTCGGAAGCGGTTCATCCTACTGAAGCCCAGGGGCAGCTCCGCCTCCGACATGGTCTCCAGCGACTCAGCCGAGGCGTATGACAGCTTGGCTGCCTGGTCTGCCAGCCCGGGCTGGGCTCCCTGAGTGTGGCGCGAGCTGCGGGTCTGCAGGGGCAGGGCAGGATGAGAGGAATCAAACATGAGCCCCTTGGCTCTGCCCATGTCCCCCATCCAGGCCCGGGGAGCCCCTGCCAGCCAGTGAAACACACACACACACACACACACACACACACACACACACACACAAGCGTCTCCTGCATTCCAGACTCGCTGTGTGGCTACAGGACAGTTCCCCAACCCCTTAGGGCCTTGGCCTCCCTGGGACACCCAGCAGGTAAGCAAGTGGGCAAAGGACTCAGGCACCCTGGGAAGCCAGACAAGAAACCATCTGAGTGGGAGCCAGGGCACGCCTGCTATTTTAAGCTTCCAAAGAACAACAACAACACAAATTTGTCACTGAGGTGAGTAGCAGAATCGTTGAGCAAATTGGGGCATTAGTTCCAGACATTAATTAAGCGGCGGGTTTGTGAGCGGCGAATTTATCCTTCCTGGAGTTCAGAGGTTTGGGTGGGGGCAGGAAGCAGGCCCAGGGAGGAAGCAAAGAGAACTAGGGGCCCCAGGTTCCCAGTTCTGAGAGGTATGGGCCCTCAGAGAGGAGCACAATGTCCTTGACTTAGGGTGCCTGGGAGAATCATCCCGAAGCTAGTTTCAAACAGACTCTGCCTACTACATGCAATGCACATGCTAAGCCTGGTATGATCCACCTGAGCACACAGCATATGTGCCTGACCTCAGCCCCTCCCCACAAGGCACATGCTGCCACACAGCCAACCAGCCTGGCTTGCCTCCTAGAAAGGCCTCCCACAGGACCCAGCATGGCAGCCCCCTTGCCCTGAAGCTACAGCTGAGGGTAGTATCTGGCTGGGGCTAGGGAAGGGTGTCACCCAGTGACTGTCCCCTGCTCCAGGGACAGCTTGATCACTCTCTCCTTGAGGGAGGGGTCGCCATGTAAGAGCCTACATGGCTCTTTTGGCTGAAGGCTGGGGCTGTCGCTCAGAGCCACAGTTCCTGCCATTCTGCCCCAGCCCCTTCTCTTAAACTCGGGTGCATCAGAAACTCTTTTATTCAAGGGAGAAGATAATAAGTCAGATCTGTGTTATGTACATTCCATGTTATGTACAATAGATACTTATACGGATTATATACACATATATTATCAAGAAAAAAAAATCATGTTGCCTAATTGTACTTTTTCTATAAAATAAGTTGCCTATTTTTAACAACAAATTACTCAAAACTATTAATATTGGTTAAGTCAGGGTTGAGACAGAGCTTTCTCTTTTATACATTTCTCTTCTGGGGGAATTTTGCCCAATCAGAATATATCATTTTTATAATTTAAAAAAAAGTAAAAGTATCTCTGTAAAGGAATCAGTTCCCTCCTTCCCCAAATCCTGATTAGCTCCTAATTACTCTCCATCTTCATATTAACTCAATTCAACGTTCCAATTGGATGAGCACTCTGGAAAAGAGAGAGCATCTTCCTCTGATGGGCAATGTGCCCAGCTGTCCCCAGTGTGGTCTCCAAGGCTTGGGGATGCAGAAGGTCAGATTTGGAGACCTCAGGGGGCGTCCAGTCTCAAGCACAATGCCTTGACCAGTGAGTGGGTATGGGTCTGGGGAGGAGGGAGGCAGCATAGGAACAAGACCCACATGGGGGTGCCTGTGCCCAGACTTTGGACCCTGTGGCTCGCTCTAGGCTGATCACCAGGGCCAGCCTCTCTCACCCTCAGCCCCAGAGCAGTGTGTCGAACCAGGTCTGGTCTGGTGGTCAATGAGGTTGCCAGGCAGCTGGAAGGCCAGTGGTTGCCAGGCTGATGTGGATGAGGGGCTACAGAATTCTGGCACGCTAGCCGGGAACGAAGGGGGTGGCCACAGAGCTGGGGGACACAAGTGAGGTGCCAGGAAGAAGATGGAACAGGGGCCAGAATGAAGTGGGGGCAGGGATCCTCAGGGCTGCTGACTGCAGAGAAGGCAAGACCCTGTCCAGGCCACCCCGGGGAGAAGAGATGCCCACATTCCCTGCCCCGATAGTTCCGCTCTCCATCCTGGCCCTCTGTGCACCTTTCCATTCTCACAGCCTTTGTAGAAAACCCTCTTGAGAAGAGAGAAAGCCCATTAGCACTTCTCTCCAGTCCTGGGCTGAGTCAACAGGGCAGAAAAAAGTGAGACATCCAGGACTTCCTGTCTATGAGGGAGATTGCAAGAGCATAAAATGTTAATCCAAGCAGAGCTCTCCAAAGCTAGGAGGGGGTTGCTGGGGGAGACAGGGCGCACCTGGCCCCGGAGGTATTCCAGCAAGGAGCCGATGACTCCTGGCCAGAGATCAGGCAGAGGGAACCTTGAGTGGGGACAGTCAGGCGAGGATCTGAGGTTCCCAAAGGCAGTCCACAGAATGAGACAGAATCACTTGGGAGCTTTTAAAAACATTCTTTCCAGGACCCCACATTCACTGAATCCAAATCTCTGGGGGGTTGGGGCCTGGGGTTCAAGGTTTCTGACAAGTTCCCAAGGTGATTCTGATTTGGGAATCAAGTCAGCGGCTTCTAACAGCTACTGAAGTAAGCTACCAGGTAAGGCTTGTCATGAACCAGGCACTGTGTTTAGGATGTGCAGTATCTCCTCTCTTCTATCTTTACAACAACTCTATGATGCAGATATTGTTGTTCCATTTTACAGAGGAGAAACTGAGGCCCAGGGGATTATGCAATTTGCCCCAGGTCCCCCAGCTAGTTAGTAGCAGACTTGGAATTCACCACCAGGCTCTCAGCCCCATGCATTGAACCGTTACATTCTATCGCTTCCTCTAAAAATGTTGTGTGCCTGACATCATGAGTTTATGATTCTGTGATTTCTCTGATGCAAGGACTTCTCTCTGGGAGCATGCTCGCAAATAAGATGCTTGGAGCAGGACGGCACCTGGGGAGTTGGGGATGGATGCCTCCCACCCCCTGTCACGATGCCTGGGAGTTGGAGGGCTGGAGACTCTGGGACACAAGCGGCAGCCTAATTTGGCTCCGTTCTGGGCCTGGGTGCCAGAGACGGTGGAGGAGGCACCTGAGGGTGCTCCGCCAGGACTCAGCAGGATGCCCTTGGACGGGGCAGAGAGCTCTCCCGCTGTGGATAGTCCAAACTGTCCAGGGGAGGCAGGAAGGTGCTCATCCCTGAGCTTAGCCCTCCACGTGGGCAACGGGTCTGGAGTGCAGGGCTGTGAGGCTCTTGCCTGGCACTGACCCCATAGTGACAAGTAAGAAAGGGATGAGGGGCCCATCAGAGGCACCAGACCTCGCTGGCAGATGAAGGCTGAGTCCAGAGAAGAGGGCCCTCCACCAGATCATGGGGTTCAGGTCCCCGCCTCAGAGCCAGCAGTGTCTCAGGTGGGGGGAAATGTCAGGCAGCTTCCCTCCTTCCAAAATGCCCCTCCCAGCATGGGAAAGCCTAAGTACCCCCAGCCCAGACCCCCAGTGGGGGTGGCCCAAACTCCCGCTCTGGATCCACGAGCCCCTGGCAGGCGAGCCCAGACTCTCTCAAAGCAGCAGCCCCAGGCCCCCCGCCCCCACCAGAAGTTTCCGTGCAGACGCACACCCCTGCGCAAAGCATGTGCAGGGAGGGCCAGGGGCAGGAGAGCACATGCAGTTGTCACGGAAGCAGAAGCACACGCACTGACCTTGAAGCTCCAGTAGTTTGGCTGCTGATGGGAACAAGAGAAGACATGGTTACGCGGGGGGCTGGGAGGGGAGAGTAGGGGCGGAGGTGGGTTAGAGGCCCTCTGCCCTCCCAGGAACAGGAGAGAAACAGTGCCTGGTACATCCCGTCCTCTCCTGAGACCCAGGACAGCCCTGGGCAGGCTCCAGGCTCACTGGTGGGGACAAGGGAGAGCCCTTCCAGATGTTCACAAGCCACGCATTCTAGTCACGGTAACTCAGAGAATCACGGGTAGGAAAGGTGCCGAAGACCATGATATAGGGAACCCATGAGACACTGGCAGAGATGAATCGGAGCTGCGGGGTCAGAGAAGTGGCATCTGGTTGCGATGGGCCAGGGGAAACTTCCCGGAAGAGGTGACATTTGAGCTGGGCCTTGAAAAATGAGCAGCTGGAGATTGGGAGGAAAGGTGTGCTGAGCAGGGGGACGGTATGGACAAGTGCCCAGGGGCAGGCAGGCAGAGAGTGTGTTGAGGGAATAGTCGCTAGTCCAGTCTGGTTGGGGAGCAGGGTCTGGGAAGGTAGCAGACTGGGCTGCAAAGAGGGGCTGGGGCCAGCTGGGTGGGCTTCGGTGGACAGGCAGAAAGCATCTGAGTGGAGCACAGTGGGGTCAGAACTGGAGTCCAGGGGGGTTGATATGACAGGGAGTGGAAGAGGGAGGCTGGCGGCCAAGGCCAGGCAGGGAGGCCTGTACCACAATGGACCGGAATTACAGAGCCAAGTGGACAGGTACCAGTCGCTTCACAGTACTGGGCAATGAATGGGGAGCCAGGGGAAGCAAGAGGAGCTGTAGAGACTGGGAGTGTGGTCAGTGTCCTAGAGCCAGATAGAGAGGAAGACTCCTTGTACCCCCAGAGTAGGGGACCTCAGTTTCCTCCTCATTCACAGTAACCTAAGGTCACCCTGTCTTCCCTAGAGACCAGAAGGCCCTTGCAGATGGCTAAGGACAAGGAAGGAGGCCCAGAGGCTGGGCTGGTTCTTGGCAAAGCTGAGGGCACCCTGCTGACCGGTGCCAGCCTCAGCAGGAAGACAGAGGCAGCAGATGGCCTGGCACTAGGGTGCCTGGCACAAGCAGACAAAATTCCCAGGCCTCAGAGCCACTGGCAGAGAAGAGGGACGCTGAGGGTCCCTGATAGGGGAAGGACATCACAGGAAGGACATCCTCCCCGTTTGCTAAGAGAAGCCCTCCATGGTCAGAATGCTGCCACCTGAATGCTTTCATGGCAGAGAGGAGTTGGACAGGGGCTGAGTCGAGGGGCCCTGCTGGGATGGAGGCTTTACTAGAGTTAGACCTCAGGGTGACCTCAGCAGACCCCCAGGGTGGAGGTGATGCCAGGTTTGGTCTGGGATGAAGAGGTTCACTCACCAGGACCTTCCCCATCTGAGCTATAATTTCCACCTCCGCCCCGCCCCCGCTCCCCTGGCATTGGCTCCAAAAGACACAAAAGATAGTCACATGCCAAGCAAGGGAAGGGGACAACAACATCTGTATCCCAACCAATGCCCAGAACAATCTATGGACATATGCCACCCCCATGGGTGCCAGGAGATGCCCACAGGGTCCGAGGGGAGGGGAGGCAAGAGGCTGGAGTAACGGGCCCTAGCCACAGCTGCCTGTGGCCTTGGGAAGGGGAGGGGGAGCAGAAGGAGGGGACATGCGGGTGGCGGGGAGCCGACAAAGCCAGGCAGAGGGCACGGGAAGGTTTATGATGAGACTCGTGTCTGCAGCCCCAGCAGTGACGGCCAGCTCTGCAGAGAAGGCCACCGTCCCTCACCTACCGCCACCATTACTCAGTGTACACAGTGCGCCCCGGAGCACCCAGGCCCTCACCGAGCCGAGCACAGACTCTCAGACGTCCTCAGATAAGGACATCGCCAGAGATACCACCCAGAGCGACAAAAACACACAAAGGAACCCAAGCACTTGGAGAGAAGCCCTCCATGGTCAGAAACAACCCCAGAAACTCAGAGACAAAGATTTTCATACAGAGACCAGCCCCGCTCATGCACAAACACGCCTCCCCCACTGGACCCTGACTCGCTCACATACACTCCGACTCCACTCACAAAAACACAGGTACCATTCACACACCCCCTAGCCTCCCCCAGAGTCACAGAAACCCACAGAAACATAGGTCCCATTCACACATAGTACACACACACACACACACACACCCCAGCTGCAGAAACACAAAACGGTACCCGCACACTATACACACAAAGAGAAAGTCTCATCCCTGCTTCCCTCCACTAGCCAGGTCATAGTGCCTCTGGACGTCTCAGCGGCAGCAACTGTCCCATGCCGATGATACCCCAGACATCAGGCGTTGGATAGGTTAACTCCGGATTCAAGAGGCAGAAGATCCCCCACCCCACCCAGCCCCCAGTGTCAATACATTGGACTCAGGATGTACAGATGGCTGAAGCCACCTTGGGCCTCGGGGGCCTGGCCACAGCCACGCTAGCTGTGCCCTGAGCCTGGGCTTCCCTCCCGACTTCCGAGGCTGGGCACATCCATGGGACGGTCAGCCCTGGAAGAGAGGGGTCACTAGCTGGGGACAGGGGAGAGGACTGGGTAGCCTCAGAGCCACCGGAAAGCCAGGCAAACCCCCCTAGAGGGTAACAGTGGAAGAGTAGCTGCATTTGTGCTTGACAAACTTGGGGTGAGGCTGAGATCAGACTTCTGAGACTTTGGGCTCCGGCCCGTAGAGCACACTGAGTAGATCCTAGCCCCTCTGGCCTCTCTGGAAAGCGGGAGGAAAGATCTCCTTTTATGTTAGCCCCACCAGGAATAAGACACATAGTCTCCTGGCAACTCAGTGTCCTTGGGGCAGGGGGAGAAGACAGTGTCGGGAGAAGTCATTAGAAATGCCGTCCATCCTCTGTCTCTGTCTCTTTCCAGGGTGTTAAACCCAAGGGACAACCTTGGGTCACTGAGAGCAGAGAGCTCCTCCCCGTTTGCTAAGATGAGGTTCTCCCCATCCAACCTCCTCACCCTTTTCCTGGTTGTCTGTTCCTCCTGTGTACCTAACGCAATGCCTGGGTATGTAGTAGGCCCTCAACAAATATTTGACCATGAATGAATGTGAAGAAAACTAGGCCCAGCCCATAGGAGGAGGGGTATGTCTCTGAATACTCTTCTCTGGCACGGCTCCCGCCATCCCCTGGCACCCAGCACCGCTCAGCCTTCTGGGCCTTTTCCCTGGGAGTTTCCCAGCACCAGCAACCCCCTGGAAGGAGGGCAAAGGGCAGGAAGGCCCCAAGAGAGTTCTGGCCCCTCACCCCCAGCAAACACCTCCAGTACCCTCCCCCATACTCAGAGAGGGGTCTCTCCTTCCCAGAGGACCGTGTGAAGAAGAAAGGTTTGAATGGGAGAGCCCTTGCTAAGGGTAATCACTTGTAGGAAAGAGTCTTACAGGAGCAGGGGGACAAAATGAGAGGTGTTCTAAAGGATTCGATTTGGAAGCCAACCATTCACTCTCTAGGGACCAGGATTTCAGAAATGAGGGAGGGGGAGCTTCCCAGAGACCCAAGAAAGCAAGGCCAGGGAGTCCTCAAACTCTCTGGTGAGAAGAGGAAATAGCATCTTCCCTCTGGGGGCTGAGGAGTTAACCTCCGCCCTTCCCCACCCTAAACGCCCTTAGTGGGGTTCTTCCCTCCCCCCTGCAGCTGATCCTTTTCTCCCCGACGAGCCCTGGGAGGGGCGGGGCCGTGCCCCCCTCCCCCCCCCCCCCCCCCCGGGAATCCGAGCGCAGGCCAGCCGAGGTCTCTCCCCTCCTCGGGCAGACGTCCCCAGCTGGCTAGGTGAGTGGCGTGACCCCTCCTTGACCTCAAGCCCCGACGACGCATCCTCCAGGGAGGGAGGACCACCAAATGGTTCGCAGCTCCGGCTGCTCCCCCGGCTCCGAGTGCACCGCCGCACACACCCACCTCTCAACTCCTGTGAACACGCGTCTACGTAAACAGCCGCCCCCCCCCCAGGCTGGGGCTACCTAACGTGCCCCCGCGTGGCCAGCCTCCCACCACTACGCACATGCACGACCCTCCCCTCAGGGGTGCCCAGCGACACCCTCACCTCCTACCCCTCCCCAACGCAGAGCGCGTGGTGGGGGGGGGCGCTGCGGGACCTGCGCGGCGCCGGGGGGCAAAGGCGCACCCCAGGAAGGTCACGACTTTCCGAGGTTGCGGGAGGGGGCTCCCGCCGCATTTGGGGGGGCGGCCCACGCGGAAGGCGGCGAACGCGGTGGGGGGAGGGGAGGGGGCGTTTCTCGGGGACCGGGAACCGCAACGGCCTGCGCGCCTCCCACCCCCGGACCGCCCCTCCGAGCCGCGGAGCTGGCCCCCAACTCCGTGCCCCACCGCCCGCGGAACCCCAGGCTGCGGCCCCGGCCCCCGCAGCCGCTCCTCCTTACCTGCGGCCACAGGTGTATGCGCGGGGGGCCCCGAGCCCCAGGTCCCGCGTCGGGCGGGGGAGGGAGGGCGGCCCCCTACTCCCACCCGCCCGGGCTCTCCCCTCCCCCGGCTGCCTCCGCAGCCGCCGCCGGTGCCCTTTGCTGCAGTGCGAGAGCCGCCGCCGCTGAGCCGGCCCGGGCCCCGGTCGCCCCGGTAACCGCGACTCCACCTGGCGCTGCGCGGCGCGCCGCCGAGCACATCCCCTCTCCGGCCCCCTCCCCCGGCGCGGCCCCGCCGGCGCAGCCCCGCCGAGGATCAGCGGAGGCTGGTGGCTGCGTCGCCGCGGTCACCCGATACGCCGGCCCGCCGCCCGGGACTCGGGTTGCAGAAGGAGGGGGGAGGTTAGGCCGCCTGGTGGAAGCGGGGGGAGGGGCTGTGGCTCGGAGTCTAGCCTCTGGTCCTCTCCCAGGGTCCTCTTCAGCCTCCCACTCCCAAAGGTCTGGCCTGGGGGGGGGGAGGGGGGGAAGGGGGGAAGGAAAGTGTCCTGTCTCCCGACCTGTCACCCTCCGAGATCATGGCCTCTCCCCACCAGGGTCTCAGGGGCCACGGCCCCCCTCCTCAGCTCTCCTGTGACTCAATGCCAGCCAAGTCTGGGAGGCCTAGGATGCCTGAGCTTCCCTGATGGCCTCTGATCCTGCTCTGCTGTGCAACTCTGGCATTTGCTGACCCTCTCTGATCCTGCACTTTACATAAAGGAGCCTCAGACTCAGCCAGGGAGAAGTGTGATAAACACCAAGCGGCGAGTGATGACAAAATCCTATGAATGGCAGCTTTCCTCTGTAATCACAAAGCCCTGGGGCCAGGGTCTGGTATGGAATTTCCTCCATCAGGGCAAATCCCAGATGCAGACAGACCTAGAGCCTCATGACCTGGGACAACTGAGCTCACCAAACTCATCCTCACGCCTTTCCGTCACCCCAACCATATCTAGTGCCAAGACACATCATCCGGAGAGGACCTCCGTATGCCCCAGGCACATCACACCTGTCTGCTGCCCCATCACCATCCCCGTCGCAGCCCTGTTTTGGTCTCCACGTGCCCTTGGCCACTCAGGACAAGTCTGTCCCATTTGCCGTCCAGCCCTGGGGGGCAGACACATCTTTGTTCCCTGAAGTGCCGTCAAGATGGGGCTGAAAGCCAGGAAGGGAAGCGGGCGGAATGCCCTGTGGTGATGCCAAGCATGCCAATCTGTTGCCAGACTTGAGTTACACTCTGCTAAGACGAACGTGCTCTGGAGCCTTGTCCTCTCCTGGGCTGTCACGTCTTTCCTTCTAATTCTCCTTGAAAAAGTCAAGCCTTGCTGCCTGTCTCCAGCGGCAGGGCTGTGTGAGGAAGTGAAGCTGGTACCCGTGCTACCCTGTGGATTCCCCGTTTCTACAGTCTGCCTCCTACAGCTGAACACCCTCAAGCCAAGACCCCCCTCAGGGTGTGCCCCCTCCCCGGCTGCAATTCAGACTCCCTTTTCCTTCCTCCCTGTTGGGGCCTCAGATGCCTATTTTTCTCCCATGGCAATGTCCAGGCCTGAGCTGGGAGCCCAAGCTCTGCCTAAGTGTGCCCCTGTCTAAGCTGAGATCCGTCTTCCCATCAGGGGAAACTGAGGCTTGATGAGGAATCAAGGAACAAATTCAGAACAAATGGCTAGATGCCAAAGTCCTCTAAAAATTGGAAACTAAGCCTTGAACATACCAAGAAGGGTGATAGACATTGTGAAGAACTTCCTGATGGTAAGACCTCAGGGGAAGGCTGGGTCCGCTCAGAGATGGAAAGCTAGCGTGGGGTTGGGGGTATGGGAGTGAGGTGGCCTACGGTGGGCGTGGGAACGGAGTACAGATCATAAGAGTCTCCTGAAAACCGATGGGATGAGGGTGGGGTAGGTACTCCTGTTTAAAGGAGAAAAGAATCCAAAAAAAATTTTTTTTCAAAACCTGAGTATTCCCCCTCAAAAAATTCCTTCCCCAAAGCCAAACCTTTGAGGAGGCAGTGGTAGGAATTAGACAATCAGGGGAGAGTACAGGGCATAGGAGTCTCCTGGAACGGGGGGGGGGGGGAGCTCTTACATAAGAGAAAAGGATGCAAAATTAAAATCCTAGATATCCCCCCTCCAAAAAAAGTCTTCCCCAAAGCCAAACTCCGCCAGGGGCTTGGGGGGCCTGGGGGCAGTGGGTGACTCACCTGGGCCGGCTGGCCAGCCCCGGAGGGGGCGGAGTCGCCATGGAGGTGGGAGCAGAGGGAGCTGAGGAGGCACACGGGGTCCACGGTCCAGCCGCCAACCTGTGTGTGCGAAGGGGGGGACACCCCATTAGGGGGAGCGGGCAGGAGCCGCTGGAGGACTGTGACGGGGCGGGGAGGGACATTCCTGGGACAAGCTTTGGCACAGAGCTCACATCCCAGAGGGACCTGCAATACTCGCTAGTCCCTTCCCGGGGCTGGATCTCTAATGATAGGCCCTGGTCTGTTTCTGGATGTTTTTCTTCTGTCCGACTGGGGGCTCCCTGAGCCCAGGAGGCCTCCTCCGTCAGATACTCCTGAATTCCTTTTCTTCACTTCTTGACAGGCTCCCTGTGCACTTTGCTAGGGAGCCGTTCCTCACCTGTCTGCTCTTCCAGCTCCTCATTCCCTCCGCACTGAAGATGTCACCTCCTACCTCACAGAGATGGGAACCATTCCGCAGGGGTCCTCACCTCCCTGTGCCTCTGCAGTGACAGCACTTCCTTCTTCCCCGTCAACTCCCACCCCCGGGCCACACCACACGTAAGGCTTGAAACCCATCACCTCCTGATTCCCCCAGGACCTTTTGCCCTGAGGCCCTCGCCCCCCTCGGCATCCCCAAATTCATTCATCTTCATTCATTCCACTGCCATTCACCCAGCCGGCACTACCCTCAGGCGCCGGGCCCTCCCCGGCCAGGGAACTGCCGTAGGTCCTACCCACTCACATTCTACCGGAGGGAATGAATGAGTGAATGAACAACGGAATGAATTTGTGAGCGAGTTGCTGTGCTTTGACTCATCTACTAAGTATTTGCTGAGTGCCTATCTGTGCCAGCGACCGTGCCAGACACTTCTGAGGCCCTCCAATGCACCCACACCTCCCCTCTCAGGCCTGCTGCCCCCTGAGGCCATCAACCCCGCTGTCTTCATCTTTTTATGGCCAAACCTCCCAGACCGATCTGCGCCCCAGGTCGTGCTCTCTCGCCACCTCCAATCTCCTCAACCCCTGAAACCGGCCATTACCTCACCATACCATGAGAGATGAGGGGTATTCTCTGCACCCACAGATCCCAGCCAGTCCCGATGGCTCCTTCTCTCTCCCTCGCCCCCGGCTGACTTCTGAAGTGCAGGTCACCCTCCTCCTGGGCCTTTCTCCTCTTCCTCATGATGGGAGAGAATGTTCCTGGCTCCTCCTTCACGCCGTCATGGCCTTCTCCCCAGTCAGACTCCATTCGGCCCTGGTGGCCCCGCTGATGCCCTGGGTCCCACTGCCACCTCGCCTTGATCAGCACGCTCACTCTCCTCCCAAAGCTGTTGTCCCTTCAGAGTCCTGGGCTGTACATACGGCGCACCTAATAGGCATCCCTGCTCTGCAAACTCACCTCCCCTATTCCTGTCTCCCAGCCTCCAAACGTTTCCTTCCCACCCTCTTATTTCTCCCCAAGGCACTGACATCTCCCTGCTAACGAGGTTTTCTGTCTTTGGCTCCTCGGTGCAGTCAGCAAACAAGCCTTGCTCAGTCTTCTCTCCAGTTCCCCATCCCTTTCCCTTCGTCTCCCTAACACACTCTCTTCATCCTCTCCTCCTCTGCCTCCTGGGGGGGGGGCAAGGGGGGAAGGAGACTGTCCTGTCTCCCGACAGGTCTCCCATTGCCCCCTCCTATTCACCACCCAAAAACAACCACAGCCCTCCTAGCCACCACCATCTGGCCCCACTTTTCCAGTCTGCCCCCCCATCTCCCACTGCTTCCCACCCTGAGCCTTCAGCACCAGCCAGGTGAGCCTCTGTACCCGCCCCCAAACCGACTCAGGACCATGCTCACCTCTCATCTTCCCAGCTTCTAAAACAGCATTCTCGTCCTCGATGCCCATTCAGACCCTTTTCATCCTTCTAAGCCTAGTTTAGGTACCTCTTCCTCCGGGAAGCCTTTCCTGACCAGGCCTGCCTACCAGGTCTTCCCTTCTCTAAACCCCCTCCCAACTGACCGTGCCCCTTCTACTTCAGTGTAAGCATCTTTTCACCCCCTCCAGATCACAAATGTCCCTGCCCCCTTCTCCCAAGCCAGAGCACACAGAAGGAACCCACAAAGAAGGGCTCCCTGAGGGTGAGGGCCATATCTCCATCTGCAACTCTCCCTTATTCCAATCAGAACTCTGCTCCCAGGAGGACTCGGAAGCTGGGAAAAGGCAAAAGCAAGACAGAACTGGAGGTGACATCAGGGGGGAGGTGCGCCAATGTGTCCTTGTTCCCTGCTGTGACAATAGGAGTGGGGACACTCTTCCCCTTTCCCAGCCACACTCAGCAGCCCCTGGCAAGGGGAACAGAGCAAGACAGGTGTGGGAGCAGGGACTGACACCCCCAGGCCCGACTGAAATAGTGTGGATGGGACATACCACCCTCCCCTCCTCTGACCCGAGCGGACGAGGCCTGGGTCTCCTCGGCCATCAAGGCATCTCGCCAATGTGGGACTGTAGGCAGAAGGCTTGTCCCAAGAAAGAACTTTCCGACGGACAAGAAAGTCATACTTGGATGGAGAGGTACATCCAGGAACCCAAGGATCTGGGAGAGGTTTACAAGGGAAGCATCCCACCCCAGATAGAAGGAGGCAGGCCCTGGTCCAGAAGCAGGCACCCTGACTCCTCTGTAAGCCTTACTGATGGCAGGAGAGAAACCAAGGCAGCCTCTAGGTCAAAGTCACACAGCGAGTCTTGGGCGGGGGCAGGTAAAAGGCCCCAGGAGTTCTGGGCTCTGTTCTTATCTTACAGGGGCTGGGGGCACAGCAGATCCAGCCTACTGAGGCTCCCAAGAGGGCCATGTCACAGAGGGGCCACCCTGGGAGTCTCAGCTCTAGGCCGGGTGGACCTTCAGGCTGCGAACAGTCAGTTGCCAAGACGGTCCCCTCCTCCTCCCCACCACTTCTTTGGCCTCCAAGACAACCTTCCTGCCGGTCAGCCCAGTCCACCCGCCCCTCTGCCTCTCTGCTCCATCCAGTGCTCCCGACTCCGGGACTGCAGGCAGAGGTCAGGAGGCTGAGCCCCCATCCCCTTCCTCCCCAGACTCCAGAAAAGGCCAACCAGGGCGACTCCCTGACTCCCCCTCTGTCGGGCTCTCTCCTCAGACGCCCCACCGAATCAGGGCCCCGGGGGACAGGGGAGCACGGGGCAGACCCCTCCCCAGCCCACAGCCGGCCCCCACTCACCTGCTCGCGCATCCTGTCCTGCTGGCCCCGCAGGGCCAGGGCGTGCTGGGGGTACTTGTTTTTCAGGTGGTCCATGAAGGCATCGCGCTTGCGGTCAGTGTCGGCCTTCTGGAGCCCGCTGAGCGCCTCCAGGCTCTGGGCGGCGATCACCGTGTGCCTGCGCTCGGACGTGTGCACCAGCCCCACGTTGGAGAAGCGCCGGCCCCCGCCGCCCGCGCCGCCCCCGCCCCCCAGGGTCCGGTACTCCCGCGGGTACTCCGCATCGTCCGCAGACAGCATGGGGGGGCTGCTCCGCTCCGGATCTGCGAGAGGGGAGAGGGGGCACGGCGGGGTCACGGGGCGCCAGGCCTGGGGCTGCCCAGCCCTCACCGGGGGTCACTGCGCGGGGGGACCGTGGGGCGGGGGACGGGCAGGCCTAAGGCGGGGCAAGAGGCGCCAGGCTGAGATCAGAGGGGCTACCCACCCCCCAACTAGGGGACAGAAGAGGCAGCAGGGGGACGGGCTCGAAGGAAGTTGGGGGGCAAGGGCAGGGTCCGGCTTCGTCCTCTGGCTTCGTGCTCTTCTTCGTTTGGAAGGGTAATGGCTGCAGGTGAGGTGCTGTTTTTTGAAGCCAAGGAGAGGTTGGAAGCAGGGGTCCTGAACATCTCTAGCCATGAGTCCCCTTCCTCCTTCCTACTGCTGGTGTGAACAGGTGAGGGAAGGGGCGTTTCCTTTAGATGGCTCCTGAAAGATGTGGAAAGGAGCCTGCCCAGGGTTCCTTTCCGAGCATCCTCTAAGGAGAGGTGTGTGTGCTTGTTGGGCCGGGGGGGGGGGAGACCCAAGCCTCCCCCCTCAGACTAGAATGGCCAGGACACCCTTGTCCTAAAGGCTGGGACTGGCTTGGAAGGGGCCAGAACTAGGGTACTGGAGGCAGGAGTAATGATGGCAAGGAGATGGAGGCCCAAGGTCCGGGGCATGGGACCCTCCCTTTTCCCTCCCTCCCCAGAGACAGACAGATGGACAGACAGGGGAGGCTGGGCACAGAGAGGACAGTGAGAGAGAGATGGATTTGGGACAGACTCAAAGGAGAAAGGAAGCAGACAGAACAGCTCAAGCCCTCCCCCCAGAACCCTCCCCTCCCCCTGCCCTCCCTCTCCTCAGTCTCCCCTCCCAACACACACACAACACACACACACACACACACACACACACACACACAAGTTCAAGACCTTTAAGGGACGCACAGGGGACAAAGGACAGTACAGAAGCAGAAAAAAAGAGAAGGCCGAGGGTTGAGGTCCCCATGCAGAATTCTGAATCCTTTCCCCGTATGCCCACCACCCCTGAGCTCCTGGCCTCACCAGGCCCGGCCCTGCTGTCTCCCACCCTCCAGCCTCAAAGCTGACTTTTCCACAGCCCAGCCGGGGACAGGGGTTCCAGAGTGCCACCCATGCCAGGCATGGTGTTGCCCACAGCAGGTGCCAGGTGTCTCCCCACTGGGAGACAAACACAGCCTCCCTGGCATACCCCCAGCCTGACCATCCACCAGTCTCAAAGCCGCACCCCCCAAGTATAGCCTAGGTCCAGGGCTGTCAGGCACTGCAGCAGACAAATGCACCCCCACACAGGGGCTGACTCGCAGGGCCAACTGGGGCAAAGAAGAGGAGGCTGGGGATTCTGGGACCCAGCCATGTTCCATCCAGCTGCCATGCCTCATTGGTCCCCTTCCTCCACACATCCACCGTGCATTAGGCCTGCTGCCAGGCCTCAGTCACCTCCTGTGAGCCACAGGGGGAAAGAAGAGATTCAGCCACATTTCAGGAAAAGCCACCCCTCACCCAACACACACACACACACACACACACACACGCACCTCCCGAGCCTATGGCTGAGGCATGTAGATCTGAGGGACAGCCTTTGAGGACCCAGCACCTCCCACCAAAACTAAGGGAAGAATGGCTTCCACAGACACCGAGTTCCATGGCTTCCAAAGGCCTGACTGACCGCGATCATCATGGCCATCAACACCCTTTTGGGGGGCGGGGAGGGTTATCATTGTGGCCCCATTTCAGAGATGGGGCTGCCGAGGTTAGGTAAGTCCACTGACGTGCCCAAAGCCACGGTGAGTGGTAGAGGCTAGATTTGACCCCAATATGTATTAGGTTGGCCTCATCCCCTCCCACCACACTTTCTCACCAATGTCTATTGACAGGACAGTGGCAACACCACAGGGCACTAGGTGCTCGTCTCTGTTCATCTGCCCCCTCCCCAGCCTGGCACTGGGTCTCGGGTCCCTCCTGCCTCCCCCCCCCCGCCCCCACCCCCCAGGCATCTGTCCTTCTCGCTGCAGTCATCATCCTCCGGCATGCTCCCCAAAGTGAGGTCCAGATACACAAGAACAGACCTTGGGAGGGACACTGTTTCACAGTTTAATACTTATACCTTTATTTTCATAAGGATTAGGAAAACCCCAAATAGAAGATCCAACCACTGATTTCATGGATATGATTCCTTGGGAAGGTAAAGAGATAAGGTTTCCTTTTAAGTAAATTTATTTAGGTTCAAAGGGAATTAAGGAAAAACATATTGAGTTAATATGGTGCAGAGGGTCCCTGATCTGGAGGAAATTCTCAAAGATGGCCCTTGATTGAGTGGGGCTGGGAACCCTGGGACCATCGTCATGAAGGCCTAGTCCCTGCCCTTGAGGAGCTCGGTGGCAGTCCAGGGTCCCAGTGAATGTGGCTGGAAAGGAGTCACCTGAATAATCATCCAGGAGGAGAGGCTAAGATGGGGGTGCTCTAGGCACCAGAGCAATAGCCCCAACCAGAGTCAGGGGGCTGTCTCCCATGACCCTTAGTCTCTCTCTTCCACTTACTCTCAGCACCTGTGGAGATCTGCATTGGGTACAACTGGACAGGAGGAGACCCTCCATGGCCATAGCCCTCTCTTTGCCCAGGCAGGAGTGGATTCTGCCCACCGGCTTTGCTGCTGGAACCCCAGGTCTAGAGTCTGGCCCAGTTCAGCCGGAGCCAGAGGGATCTCCTTCCTTGTGCCCAACAGCCAGGCTCACAGTGCCCTCTGAGGGCTCTGGACACACACAGGTGCAGGGGACAGGTCTCCAATTCTCATCTCCCCCCCTGCCCTCTGGGAGCCAGAGAGCTGCTCATCCCCATCCCCACCCTCCGTGCTGGCACCTCCTTCCCTGGCTCCTAGCAGGAGATCTCAGCGAGTTTGGGCTGAGGCAGAGAGCAGCAGGGACTGGAGGAGATCCAGCGGTCATGTTGGCTAAAAGGGCGAGGCGGGGCTGGCAGGTCCGGGCTGCTAGAGCGCGCAGTGGAGGGGACAGTGGACAGGTTCTTGCAGCCCTATTATGACTGTAGTCCCATAAACCCCACTGCGGGCTCAGCGCCAGGAGTTGGGGAGAGTAGAGCCAGGACTGTCCCTGACTTCTTGGGGTCAGGGCTCAGCCCTCAGGTGCCCAGGCATGGGTGGGAGGGAGGAGGCAGGGGTGAGGCAGGAAGTGGATTCTGGGGGGTGGCAGAGAGAGGGGCAGGAGGGGGCAGGAGAGACAATCTGCTAACTCTGAGGGGTGGTGGGAGGGAGGGGCTTAGATTTGCAAAGCTCTAGCATCTCTTTAAGAACCTTCAAGATCCTCAGCTTTATTTACCAAACACAGAAACTAGCTGGGGGCGGGGGGGGGGGGGGGGGGGGGGGGGGGGGGGTTGGAGGGAAGAGGTGAGGCTCCTGCTCTGTGCTCATTTCACTCCTTTCTGCAGGTCCCCAGGGGACTGGGAGGACTGACCTGGGCTTCTGGGCAGCAGGGCCATCCTATTACCCTTAGGAGAAGGAGGCCCGTGGGGCTCAGAGGACTCAGGCATGAGCTTCTGTCTTTGAGTCACAGGCGCTCGAGGTCAGGGCACTGGGAGGAAAAGAACCCCAGGCCGGAGACACCCTGGGTTTCAAGTCAGCTCCTTCCCCGAGGGACCCTGGATTAGCCTTTCATTTAGTCACTCATTCAGTCAAGAAATCTCTTCCCTCTCGGAGCCTGAGGGCACTAATCTGTAAAATGGGGATGTTCCCCTCTAAACCCTGCCCCTGTCTTGCCGGCCTTAAGAAGCTGGCAAGACGGTGGAGGAGAAAGTGTGTTGTTTTGAATTAAAGGCATTCCTGGCACATCAGCTCCTGGGCCCCGGCAAGACAGGCTTCCCAGTACCCCTGCACCTGCTCCAGCCACCACTGAGTCCCCAGAGCGGCCCTGACCCTCCCCAGACTGAGCAGCCCAGTGAAAAGTGCCGGAGATCGATTCCAATCTAGCAAGCAGCAGGCTCTGGACACCCTGGCCCTGAGCAGACCAATGCTTCCCGTTCAGTGGCAGGGGCGGCGAGGGGTCCATATGGGCAGGGGTCTTGAGGGGGTAAGCAGGGACATGGGGACTGAAGGTGCAAAAGAAGGGCGGGGGGGGGCTCTGAAGGAAGGGGAAGGGTGGGGAGGCCACGGAGGAGGAACCGAGCTGGGGTACCCTGGGGAAGGGAGGTTGGGACTGAAGGCCCCTGAGGGTTGGAGGCTGGGGGAGCCAGAGAGAGAGGTTGGAGTCAGAGGAGTTGCCATCTGTCCAAGGTCACCCAGGTGTGCAAGGCCGATCACAACTGTCTTGTCGGAGATCCAAGCCCCAGAGAAGATGCCCGAGACTGGTGCAATCCAGCTCAGAATGGGGGGGGAGGAGAAGTGGGGAAGGGGGTTCTGTCACCCTCAACTCAGCCTTCCCAGCCTGGGCCCGCACACCTGAGGCTGGGGAGACAGGAGGAAGTGGGCGCCCCCCAGCGGCCGGCCGAGGATAAAGGCGCAGGCGCTTGGGAAGACGGCGACAATGTTCCGCCAGTTCCAAATTCCACCTTTATTTATGAGCCTGATTTATTTTTATCCTCCTCTGCATTTTTTTACATGAGATCACTGTAACTCATGATGAGAATGAAGATCCCCAAGTTTTAGTGACACCATCTCATTAGCGAACAAGCCCACCCCACCTCATGTCTTTACCCCAGATGTCACTATTCTGTCCTCTGGCTGCCACTGGGCAACATTCACACATGACATCATCTTCAGAGGAAGGGAATGTGGAGAAGAGGAAGGGGGGGGGAGGGAAGAAGAGCAAGGAAGGGGAGGAAGTGGACAGAAGATAAAGGAAGCTACAAGATCCAGAAAAGAGAGGTCTCTCTCTGGGGCCCCAGCTGTGCGGACCCCAAGCTCAATACCCAGAGTCTAGGTCCCTGTCTCCCTGTCCCCACAGAGATCAGAAGGCTGGATGAGGCCTGAGAGGGCTCCC